CAAGAACCGTAATAGGGTAACTTAGTGCATTTGGATGTGTATAAGGCTTTCCTAATCAACCATAACGCCAACATCTACAACTCACCTGAAGGTATTCTAAAACACACACCTGGTAAATGTATATATCAAATCGAATTTTCCAATTAACAGGTAATCGTTATGACTCTACTACTTAGGAATGTCAAAACTGTTTCAATTAATGTCTTTCTCGACGGGACTTTTTCTAAGATAGTATCTCAACGATAAAACCCGACTGCTGACGCACATATTGAAAATAATTATGGCAAATATCAGAAATCAACTAACCCTAATATGAAACTCTCACTAACCACACTGTTTAACCACAAACATTTAATCATGCGTAAATGACCAATTTCTCACGCGTGACTGAATTTAGGGTTTTCTTTATTTCTTTTAAAATGTATTTACATTTCAACGTCGATAAATTCAATGTTTATACGAATAGTTCAAGTCAATAATCAAAACATGTCTGAATCATAAAAAAGTTATTTTTGAAATGTGTCAACATGAAAATTACACTATGTATACAAACAACATTTATTCGAAATAACAAGTACATGTTTACTTATCAATTTTCAATTTCCTTGCGTGTGTATGTATAGGTACATTCCAAAACCTCACTTGCCGTTACCCAAATTCGAACCCCCTGACAGTAAAATGGTGAATTAATTTGAAAAGAACATCAGAGAAAATCTGTCGAAGATTCTGGAATATGGAAAAGGGTATTTTAGTATGATATCATTGTTATTTAAAGAATCTTGGCCTTCTCGTACAAGTTGTATTATATATACTCGCGAAATTTAAGTAAACTACATTAACCCCGCTGAAATAATCGAAACATCATTTTTCCCTGACGATCGGTCATCTTGGTGCATTTGGAATATGATATAACCCCGGAGTGGTGGATTTTTCTACGTCTATTCGTGAATAACAGATCCGTATGTGTTGATTCTTACCGTGGTTTATCACCTGCACTAGCTCGTTAGAGGCTACTTTCCTCTTTCAAATACACCAAGTCCATATATCAAGTCAGTTGTTTCCTTATATAAAACAAATGATTTACTAATGACGTTGGATGCCAAACGCTAAAAATAGATTTTAATATGACAACTAACGGATAATGTATCGGTTAATTTTCTGTTTATTCTGAGAAGACCATTTTGGCTGCTCTAAGATCTAGACTCGCCTTCAGAGTTCAAGGATTTCACTCTGGCTGTTAAAACCGAGAAATTAACAATCGCTTTCCGAAATTTCTGTTTTCAGGTTTTTTGTATCTTTTAAAGTGGATCCATGGCAGACCGTATTCTTTAGTTAGCTTGTACAATGGAATCTTATTTATCTGGTATTTTTGGTGTGTGCTGTAGGATATTTTTAGTCTTGACACTTTGATTTGTATGTTTATTGTAATGTTGTACAGTAAAACGTTTACAGCGGATTTCCATACGGATATTTGTGTGATTTTTGGAAGGCACGGCTATATACAGGAACCTCAAAATCCCGTTTTAAGGGAATAATATAATTGTGGCTTTTTGTAAGAATATTTAAGATAGTTGAAATCTGCAGGAAGGTATGATAGCGAAATAAATGAAAATTAAAACCTATGGTTTTGTTCAAGTTCAGTATAGCTGTAATTTGTGAAGTCCTGTTTTTGCTGGCGATGCATATTTCAGTGTATGCAGTCTGTATAGTAACAAATGTACATCCGTTTCCAGACAGTTTTACAGACATAGAGGGTAAAGTGGGGGGAGGAGTGGTAGGGGATCTGACCCATGGGGCTTACTTGTCCATCAAATTATTAATAAAATGCAACACATTACAGTGGTGTGCTATATTTAGGACTTGGGTTGAGTAACATATTAAACTTTTGTACCATTAACACCTGTCAAAATACGTTTATTAACTTTAAACAAATGTTCGAATTCATAACCTGTGTCATGAATATTTCAAAGACGGCCAAAAGCGGCTCTTAATCTTCTATCGCTTCTTAATATAGTTTAATTTCACTGTGAAAGGTTTTCGTAATGGACATTGTTATAGGCTCGAGGCTTCACCTGTTCGGGCAGCTGTCAAGTGATTGACTGCTAATATGAAATTAATAGTACGTCAGTTTCTAGAGAAGGTTGACCTAGATAAAAAAAATGTGGTCTCCAATGGTTAACTGTAGTCGTCAATTAAATAATCCAGTAGCTGTCCTCCTACGTAAAATATTATGTGATGTTCTTAAGCCGGAATTTGGACAATAAAACTGACGATGAATCTAACTGTTGATACTGAAGTAGCTGTCCTCCTACGTTAACTAGTATGTGATGTTTCTAAGCCGGAATTTGGACAATAAAACTGACGGTGAATCTAACTGTTAATACTTTACTAGCTGTCCTCCTACGTAAAAAAGTATCTGATGTGCTAAACCTGGGACTTAACAATACAACTGACGATGAATCTAACTTTTAATTAATTAGTAAGTTCACGTGTTATAATACGTAGTTTGTGTTATAAGATGAAGTGATTTTTTTAGTTGTGCAATTTGACTTAATTTGATGGTAGTATGTGAGGTAATATGATGTTGTTATGAAACACAATATGCTCGTGCGATATGACGTAATATGATGGTGTTGTATGACGTAATATGATGGCGTTGTATGACGTAATATGATGGTGTTGTATGGCGTAAAAGATGGTGTTGTATGACGTGATATGAAGGTGGTGTATGACGTGATATGAAGGTGGTATATGACGTGATATGAAGGTGGTATATGACGTGATATGAAGGTGGTATATGACGTGATATGAAGGTGTTGTATGACGTGATATGAAGGTGGTGTATAACGTGATATGAAGGTGGTATATGACGTGATATGAAGGTGGTATATGACGTGATATGAAGGTGGTATATGACGTAACATTATGTTTTATATGGTATCATATCATTTCTTTATGAGATAGAATATCTACGTTACGTGGTTTTTTTTTAATCTGAAGGCTGCATTGATAAAACACACTCATCATAAGAATGAAAAAAAAATGCAATGGAGGGTCAAATAATATTTTATACAAATCAAGTTTCAGCTAATGAACCGGGGAAATTAGTTCATTCTAGATAAGTTATCCAGGATTCATCGCGTATCAGATAACAAACATCAATTCCCCAATACGAATGGTCGAGGATGTGGTGGTTGTGCGTGCAATTTCATATCTTTTTATCAATATGTGTTTCCTCTGACCTCGATTTCCCATCCAAAATAAATACCGTTTTTCTACTCTTCACCCTGCGAGGTAAAATCCCTCACATTTAACATTTTTTTTGACGATAGTGATTCGAACAAGGGTTGATACTGAAGAAAATTTACCCGCGACGTAGAAAGTGAGCGGATGTTCAATCTAATGCCATACGTTAGAGTTGATCTCGTACAATTTACAATTAAAAGAGAGATTGTGTGTGAACCGTTTATAATTAGACAAGTATTATTTATCTTTATCTTACAATAATACGATAAGAAATAAAATAAACCCTTCCATCACTGTATACAGCCTCACATACTGATATATAAGTCCCAAAACGTTCTAGAACGGACAGAAACGAATGCAAACTGTTTGGTCACGTGATACACGTGACAAATTTGAATTTGTATTTGTAAAGAAAACAACCACTACAACTTGGTATGACCTCCCTCCTCATCGTTAACAAGCAGGGTCATTACAGGACAGGGCCATATTATATGATTTATTAATTACCTTACTGAACATCATGCGGAAGGCCAGTCGCATGTTATCTGAAGCAATTAGGACAAGGTGTATTTAAAAGTGAAATCCATACACATAGAAAGGGGAATAACTACATGTAGTTTTGGTATTTGAAAAGAATTAGATTATACGCATATGTATACGACAGACTGGAGAGTTCTGTTTTTTTAGCAGCGATAAGTTTTGTCTGTGCTTTGAACGATAGTAAAAGACAATTTGTTTTACCATTAATGATTATCAAAAACGCCCAATGACTAATTACATAGATTACACGACAGACTGAAAAGTTCCAATTATCTATCAGCTATAATTTTTGTCTGTGCTGTGAACTATCGTAAAAGACCTTTTTTTTAACCATGTCTGCTTATCGAAAACGCTTAATGACTAATTATAAAACTAGAAAAGGAAAAAGCACTTTCCAGACATAGAATCATCACTGTCAGAGGAAAAAAGTCCTGTGACGTTCCATCAAACCTAATTGCAGCACTGTTGTAAATTTTCCCCGACAAAACATACAACCGCCTTTAAATTGATAGAAAAAATCACGTTCAAAGATTATAACATTTGAATATCGGGGTTTGGACATAAAGGCTTCCTCGTCCGCGACAAACTCACTAATTGCCTTACTGTTGATAAGAAACCGCACTCGTTATCATGTAAGCAAAGATCTTTTTACGACTATTTTATATGTTATTTTTATTGTTATGAAACCGAAGGGCGAGCATTTCTTAATTTATATTAAATCATGGCGTCTGTCTGTAGACCACCTCATTGAATCACGGTATGATACGCTCGTTACTGAGGAATGGGTACACTATTGCAGATTCGAAAATAGATAGTTATTCATTTTTATCATCATGTTGGATCAGCGTGACTTTATGATATCTGAAGCATATTGACTATTTTTTTAGCAACAGAACACAACATCAACCAAAACATCTAGGGATACCACACAAGTAATTTACGTTCTAACGCAAGTTCTGTCGAGCGAGAATTTTCATTCTGTCACTTAACCAGTTTGGACGTTTACGTCACAAGTTATTGGTTGATCAGGTGCACCAAGGATGTTCGCTCATGAGATAAGGGAGGACTTCCTATTCTTATTTTGTTTTCTTGCGAGCTTTCGAGGTCTATATTAATATACTAAGTTCGGACTCGAGAGACCAAATTGACGTCCACGGGCTAGGGGAAATAACTCGTATATACATTAATTTCATTACTTCCGGTTTCTACCTGCTTGTGCACAAACATGGGAGAAGCACGTTCGACTATTCCTGTGTTGTCAAAGCCATTACTGGATCCGACGAGAGATTTCATCAGTCCCGAGCGCTACCTACAGTCTCTAGGTAACAGCCACGTGCATCATAAATGGCACCAAATAGTTAGCTCGCTTCCTTGTTGATAAAAGTAGATGATGCCAGGCGAATTAGATCCTGATTTATCTAATGATGGCGATCGTTGTGTAAAATGGTTTTGTAAAACAGTGTAACATATCACACACATTTGCTTCGAAGATTGTCTGTCTGTTAAGAATGGTTTCAGCAGTCATTGACTATCACTGTTATAGTGTATGCAGGGTATCATTATAGTATGATGGTTACGATAACAGTATATCAGTATATGTAGAAATCGATTGGTACTGAGACAAACACTCTAATCCTTTTGCTGCTATAACGGTATATTAAGAAAGTCCACAAGTTTGGTTGGATAAAATGAGTATCATATATATCGCCAGTCAACTGTCTTGATTTCTTGAGTGCATGCCAAATATGTTTTCTACTTGCCCAGGTCAAGTGTGGAAATAAGAAATGTGACGTATCATATGGTTTATAGAATGTAGTACAAAATGTACCTGTATTTTAGCATTAACTGGACTATGATCATAACTTAAGAATTCATTACTAGACATCTATTAATAAAACATGATAGTTCAATGAATTTCAGCTTCATATCAGATGGTACAATACTAAAACCACCAAGAGAGATTTAGATTTGATAAGCTTGAGATTTTTTTCTCTTGTTCAATGGTATTGTATAGGTTCGTTAGACTGTATATGAAGTCTGATAAAAAAAAAAATTGGTGCCGTGATCAGGATACCAACAACCATTTGATATGTGTCAAAAACTTTAATTATATGCATGAAATTTTCTCGAAATCACATTGGCTGGATCCTATACGTGTGATCAGTTCTCAATATCAGTTTTTCAGGTTCATATCACATCATATTCACCAGCACCGAAGTCCATAATTGTATAATGGTAGACACTGCATTTTATTATCCAACTACAGGAAATTTTTACAACATGGTACAAAATGTACTGTAGTTTCAACTTCTCAACAATAAGAAAAACAACACTTTTCCTGTGACCTGTAACCCCCAAAATGCTTACCTGTCTACCCTAATTTTCATTATGTTAAAAAAACACTCTAATATTTTGTTTGGCAAAATGTAATAGCTTCTAATATGAATCATCCGAGAACTTTAGAATGACAAAATAGAACTCAGTTATTGCAAAAACTCTTCATACTCCATTTCAGAAAGAAAGTTGAACAAGGTCCAAGGGAAAAAAGGTCAAGAAGCAAACTCAAAAGACATAATTGAATCACTTGGTAAAGTTCGGGATGATCAGATGGCGCAGCTGATGTCTGAGACCAGGGTCAGCGGGTCTGATGACCCAGATCAGTACAAGGGGTCAATACTTAACAAGAACCATAACTCTCCTCAGCTGGAGGAAGTGGTGGCGCTAGTGTATCAGGACAGTTTGGCAAAGTCTCACGACTTACAACAGGACACAACAGAAGAACAGGCAATCTGTGATGCTACAAAAACATGACCAAAGGCATTATATTAAATTTCGGGTAACATGGATGAAAATAACGGATGTTCCAAAATATTTCAGGAACATGAGATTTTTCAAATTGTAGTGTATTATCAAAAGTGCTGAAGCGTCTGTCATGTGCAATATATCATTCCATAAACACACATATTTAATGTTTAGATAGGTCATTGTCCAGAGGTTCCATGCCGAGTTACCATCCTGCATGCTTTATTGATTGGAATGTTGTGAATTTTCAGACAAAATAGTGTTATCTCATATTTGGGCATCATCAATGACATGGTTCAGTATTAATTGGCCAATCTATGTATTAACCTAACGACACATCTAGTCAGTGTGTGATTACATTCAAGATGGTGCAGTAAGATTGTGCTGTTCACAAACCAAGTGACAACTCATTAACCAGAACAACGGGAAATGTAATGTAGCGTCTGGTTCATATTTAATGGTTGTGATATTAAAAAGATATTTACAAACTTTGATGTTTAGTTTGCATTCAATTTTCCTATACTTATCATTGATTTTTTTTATCACAATTAACCGTTCACATATTTAATATTTTTAAAGAAGTCAATGAAATTGACAGGAGGTAAATATTTACTTTGCCAAATTGATCCATATTGGTGTATAATGATAAGGATCCAGAGGGAAATGACCATGGTGATGAAAAGGATATTTTAGTACAATTGTTATTCAACATGGGGATTCTATAGCAGTATTAGTCAATTGTCCACTGCGATAATATGCCAAAATTTTGCCACCCTTGTCAGCTGAGCCAAAGAAGCATGCTCCGTCAGCTGAGTGACGGAGACCGTATTTAACACTATATACAAGCAACAACGACCCGTCAACTGAGTGACAGAGACTGTATTTAACACTATAAACAAGCAACACCAACCCGTCAACTGAGTGACAGAAACCGTATTTAACACTATATACAAGTCACACCGACCCGTCAGCTGAGTGACAGACACCGTATTTAACACTATACACAAGTCACACCCACCCGTCAGCTGAGTGACAGACACCGTATTTAACACTATATACAAGTCACATCGACCCGACAGCTGAGTGACAGAGACCGTATTTAACACTATATACAAGTCACACCGACCCGTCAGCTGAGTGACAGACACCGTATTTAACACTATATACAAGTCACACCGACCCGTCAGCTGAGTGACAGAAACTGTATTTAACACTATATACAAGTTACACCCACCCGTCCGCTGAGTGACAGACACCGTATTTAACACTATACACAAGTCACACCGACCCGTCAACTGAGTGACAGAAACCGTATTTAACACTATATACAAGTCACACCGACCCGACAGCTGAGTGACAGAGACCATATTTAACACTATATACAAGCCACACCAACCCGTCAACTGAGTGACAGAAACCGTATTTAACACTATATACAAGTCACACCGACCCATCAGCTGAGTGACAGACACCGTATTTAACACTATATACAAGTCACACCGACCCGTCAGCTGAGTGACAGAAACTGTATTTAACACTATATACAAGTCCTACACCCACCCGTCAGCTGAGTTAAAACCGTATTTAACACTATATACAAGTCACACCGACCCGACAGCTGAGTGACAGAGACCGTATTTAACACTATATACAAGCCACACCGACCCGTCAGCTGAGTGACAGACACCGTATTTAACACTATATACAAGTCACATCGACCCGACAGCTGAGTGACAGAGACCATATTTAACACTATATACAAGTCACACCGACCCGTCAGCTGAGTGACAGACACCGTATTTAACACTATATACAAGTCACACCGACCCGTCAGCTGAGTGACAGAAACTGTATTTAACACTATATACAAGTCACACCGACCCGTCAGCTGAGTGACAGACACCGTATTTAACACTATACACAAGTCACACCGACCCGTCAACTGAGTGACAGAAACCGTATTTAACACTATATACAAGTCACACCGACCCGTCAGCTGAGTGACAGACACCGTATTTAACACTATATACAAGTCACATCGACCCGACAGCTGAGTGACAGACCGTATTTAACACTATATACAAGTCACACATATCCGTCAGCTGAGTGACGGTGACCGTATTTAACACTAAACCACACCGATCCGTCCATTTTAAACAGTTTACTGATATTTCGCGGAATAGTTTTACTCTTAATCTACATAATTGGCAATTACGGTGAACAACAATATGACGTCACACATGAGCCATTTCTCACATACTAGGACAAAATCGCTACTTTACAGAATGACCACGACACAGACTTCAATATTTGGTTCCGATTTTTATTTTGATTCCAATAGTTCACTCTAAGTGACCAGATAAAAAATGTGCTCAGGGACCTGCCTGTATTACAGGGCCGTGTGTGTATTACAGCGACGTGTGTGTATTACAGGAACGTGTGTGTATTACAGTGACGTGTCTGTATTACAGGAACGTTTGTGTATTACAGGGCCATGTGTGTATTACAGGGACGTTTCTGTATTACAGGAACGTGTGTGTATTACAGGAACGTGTGTGTATTACAGGAACCTGTGTGTATTACAGGAACGTGTGTGTATTACAGGAACCTGTCTGTATTACAGGAACGTGTGTGTATTACAGGAACCTGTGTGTATTACAGGAACGTGTGTGTATTACAGGAACCTGTGTGTATTACAGGGACGTGTGTGTATTACAGGAACCTGTGTGTATTACAGGAACGTGTGTGTATTACAGGAACCTGTGTGTATTACAGGCACGTGTGTGTATTACAGGGACGTGTGTGTATTACAGTTGAATGACCAATCTTTCTGCCGCATTTCGTCGCCTCCAGCGCCGCGAAGACTCGGAGACAACCTTTTGAGCTTTTAGAGAATTTTACTAGATGTCACGATATAACCAAGTAAGGTGGCAGTACACTCCTATCCGTGACGGTCGGAAAACCTCGAGTGATTTTCGGAAACTTTTCTTTTTTCACAAAGGTATCTTAATCCCACCTTTAACAGTGTCAGTTTTCGTGTTTCTTTAAAACAGATTAAAAACAAAGTTGCATGTAGAATTTTGGTTTTCCAGAAATATGTAGTTAAATATACTTTCTCTTGAATGTACAGATTTTCCCAATATATTTGAGAATATTCAATTGAAGCAACAAGACTTTTTAGTATCAACACTTCCATGAAAATGTTCATCGTCATGTCACCTTCAGGGCACATCCCTAAGTTCTATTAATAGGTTGCCATGACAATAAGGGAAGGAAATTTGAATTTCACTTGCAATTCTATGTAAGCCCAAAGGGTTCTGACTATCTATCAACGAGTTTATTTTTGTCTTGGTCACGGATCGTTTGCGACCATCGTAAGTAAAGATAGGCCTACAGATAGAGACCAGTTTTAAACACATAGTAGCAAATAAGCTATATTCTGCTCATCAGTCGATCCAGGGATGTATAATTATATTCTACGTTCCTGATTGTGATAGAACCAGGAGGAAAGTAAGAATGTTGAATGCAGACCAACTTTTTCTTAATTAATTTACATGGTTTATTCCTCCTCCGTGAACTGATGAGAATGAGTCTAAGGGGAGTAACTCTTGCACGCACTGCCACACTTCGATAAAACCAATATCACAACAAGACAAGTATATAGAAATAGATTATGCTTTATTTCTTTCCGAAGTCAAATAGTCCGTTCTGTAAATGACTTTGTAAACTTACTCAAAATAGTTACATTCCATCCCTCAACAAAAATGTCTTATATTGGTATATCATCACGTATATTATAAAAAGTGGCAAAACCTTAATATATCAACCAAACGGACTCTTACATTTGGTAAAATCACCAATAACAGGAAGTATGTGCTGCAAATGTGATTGATGCATGGCTACATGGTGGATACCCTTGACAACTTCATGGAGCAGGAACAAGGATTACAAAATATACTTCAAATAATGGCAAGATGTACCATTTAAACATCAAAATTAAAATTGGAAATGATGAAGAAACTTTTCTTCAGCTAACAAATTAAATTATCTTCTCACACGCAAAATACTGATAGCTGAAATACAACAATTTACTTTGGTCTGGTCCCATTTATAAAATACACACATACATGTCAATAAAATAACAACCAACCACTCTTGTGTTTATGATAAAGTGTGTTTGTGCAGACCACATTGGTCAATCAAACATGATATTAACTTTTAATGTAATAAAAACTGGTCAATGAAAATGCTTGTTTCATAGAGGGTTGATATAATTTCCTGGTTTAATCTTCTCCATACGCCAAAATCATTTGTTGAACAACTTCTGTAGTATACACAGTCACAAACAACTGTCTAATCCAGAACACTTTATTATAATGTTCTTCTACTTTTACAAAATTAAGAGCCCAGCTCCTTTGTATAAATAGTCAGTATTATACTGAATGCCAGTATTAACTATTGGTACCAAACTTGTACGTAGTTGTCTGTCTGTATGTCTCTCCTGGAGCTAGCACAACTGTTGGAAAGTCAAGCTGACATAAAATAGAAAAACAAAACACTTAAAATCATTTTGATGCAAAAACTGAAAAATAATATTGAGATCATGAATAATTCTAATCTGAAAGTATTTCCTTAATAAATTTCAAATCTGACTGGAAAAGTATAAAATATTAAAGAGTACATTAGCTGAGAGAAGATATATTCCTTTATTCCAAGTCTATGTCATTCCTTACACACCAGTTTACTTTTCTGTTTTTTACTCACTTGATTGGGGCTATCAGGATAGTGTTGTGTCTCCAGGCAGAAACCACTATATTTGCCATAATGTTTACCTCCCTTGCCTGTTACATTGTTCCAGAAGGCAGTGTAGAACTGCATACCAGGCTCTGTACTGTGGACCTCCACATATCGTCCACTGGATGGATCTTCAACTCTACAAAAACAATAATAAATACAAAATCAGCATTATATAGTAAAAGCAGCCGATGGGCAACGAGGAATTTTGAAGTTTCAACATACTAGGTTGTCTTAAAAAACACCAAAATCCGAGCTCTAAAATACAACAACTGGACGATTTGTACTTGAGCTGATGGACAACTATTTACACTTCATGAAAGCTAAATATTTGAAAGGTCATAAATCAAATGACAAAGTGCACGTTTCCATGCAAATGGTAAGATTACATTACAAAGTTGTTGACTCAATAAAAGAGATTGTCATGTTTACAAATACAAGACAGATACCTTGCCATATTTTTTATCCAGCCAGTCTTGCCAAAACAGTAGTTATGGTCAAATCCATGACCTCCTGGAACCAGACTGATGACATCTCCAAGTTTTTGCTTCACCCTCAAATCCATCACTGTTCCTTGTACTGGAGTTATTCCACCTGTTAACAGTGTAAATCTCAGTATTTGGGACTCGAACAATACTAGTAATATCAAAAACATTTTCCAGCATTTTCATGAAGCAACTTTTCCTAGTCATTTGACGTACTCAAATATGTGATCACTAATTTGAGTTACAATGTAAAAATTTGGCGTGAAAGGTTCATCATGATTAAAGATTGCTTTTAAAGACAAGGACAAATCATATCATAGCAGGTCACACGATTACACAAGGTATCATTCATGCTTGAATGTTCATAAAACTACCTGTAGGAATGGAAGTGTCATCAACAGGAAGGAACGAGTCAGCATTTACCTTGGCAAAATGTTGTAGTACATCACCTGAACCCTGCAATCAAAATACACTTGTCTTAAGTATCTCTATTTCATCAGAATGTCCAAAACTTTCATATCCCCAATTTAAAGCAGAAGTTTTTTGAAGTCATGCTTGTTGTCGAAACCTTATTTATAAAGATATCAGTTTAGTCAGGTAAACAGTGACCTTATGAAGTGTATTATTACTATTATTAGTTCTAAATTTAGTATCAAATTTGTTTTAATCAGCATTATCAAATCAATATCTTTAGAAAATCTGAATAAACAATCCCACCTCTCCTTTCAGGTTGAAGTAGGCGTGGTTTGTGAGGTTGATGACCGTTTTCTTTGTAGTGGTAGCACTGTAATCAATGATCAGTTCGTTTGCATCTGTGAGTTGGTATGTGACCGTAGCAGTTACCTCCCCTGGGTAGCCTTCTTCCATATCGGCACTGACATAAGTCAGAACTAATTTACCATCAGAAATACTTGACCTCCACACACGCTAAGAAGTAAAAATCTGTTTATCTAAAGTTGAACATTGATGATAGTAATGAAAAAGATGAACGGTAATGAAAGAAAGAGGAGAGTCCACTATGTAATGTCATTTGTGCTGTGTAGAAAAATGCACAAAATAGATAACAGACATGATTATTTGTTCATATTAAATACAAATCACATGATATTCTTCATGTTAAAAATCCAGTTTTTCAAGATCCAGAAAGGGCATTAACTCCTGGAAACCTTGGAAAATTAACACCTGCATTCAAAAATTTAGTAAAACATTGTCCTTCAAGAGATTTTCATAGTTTATTAAACCATCAGAAACTGAAGTAACATTGCTGGTTCCTAATGGTGCCTTTCTTGCCAGTTCAAATTTCCATCTAACCCTTGTTTCTCGTCATTATTTCTAGTGAATGAATTATAATATTAACATCACCAGAAATGATGTTGTCACAGAGCCTGACAATTCAGCAGACAAGACAGATAAAAAACTGCTCTTCCCGTTGTTGACTTTGTAAAGTAAATATAAATAAGAGCAGATTTAGAAATAAAGAACTTCAACTGAAAGTACCTTGTCAAAGCCTTTGATTCCTCCATGAAGAGCATTTGGGCCATTGTTGACTGCGAGGGTGTATTTGGTGCCATCTAGACTAAACGTCCCATTGGCTATCCTGTTGGCATACCGACCAATCAGAGCTCCAAGATAGGGATCATTTGCTTTATAACCTACAAAGTCATTGAACATGTATGAATACATAGTTTTTGAGAATTGAAGAAAGAAAATATATTCAGCTTGAACAAGATCCCTCAGAGGTTTTGGAACCAACCATTGTTTGATCTTTATTTTTCTTAGAAGTTGAATCTTTCCCGTTTTTGTTTGTAAATATATGAAAGTTGAAAATTCCACTTAGAAAAAGTGATGATTATCTTTAACTGCCAAATCCAAGTTAGTCCCATTTTGGTAATTTTTGTTTTTCAGCTCAGTACTGTGCCATTTTCAAAAGGAACCAATTGAAACCTATATATGAAGTTAAAAAAATCCCATCCAGTATTTCTCAAGATTGGTTCTAACAAACCAAGACGGTTGCCTGTCAATCATTTCCAAAATGATCTATGCAAACCCAGGGACTAAATAATTAGAAATAGTGAAAGCAAGAATTGATAATGGACAGATGGATGACAGATAAAGGACGATCTGAATAGCTCACCATCTGATGGTGGAATAAAATTACACAACTAATCAAGTATTGTTAATTTACCACAAGATCAGAAGCAGAACATTTTAAAACTAAACCTGCTTTAATATTGATTAATGATTTAAAAAGGTTAAAAATACACGAAGAGTTTTATACTGCATGTAAATTAATGTTATAAATCATAAAAAATAATTTCATACCAAAAATCAAGAATGAATATCATACACCACAAACCTTCTAAGTCGTCAAAGCCAAGGACAACATCCCCCAGTACTCCCTGGTTATTTGGTACCATCACCTTAGTGATGATACCTCCGTAGTCTATGATCTTGACTTCCACATTGTTATTGTTGGTCAGGGTATACCTGTTGGTGTTTAAAAGTTTCACAAATTAGGTCTTACCGACAGTCTAGTCATAGAAAAACAGCAAAACCAAAACATTTTGTGACTAAAACAAATACAAATATCTTTAAACAATGCTTTTGTTTTGTATCTTTATATCCGTAAGAACTGTACTATAGATATGAGGAATTTAGAGAAGACAAATGTTTGAAAACATAACAAGGATGCTCTTAAAAATTACTAGCTGAAAATGTACATGTATGCAGTAGTTTCTAGGTTTGAAATTATTAAATAAAGTTTGAAAATTACATCGGAATTTCTTTTTGGTGATCTTTCTTGTTTGGCATAAAGAGAAATGTCATAATGCAAGAAAATCTTGTTTGTAGTACTGATATTTGTAACCTTCAATGAATTAAAAAAAAAAAAAATAATCTTCACAATTTTCTCCTGTATCTTAGTTCTGAAGAAGGTGAGAACCCATTCATGGGTGTGAGACAGAATCCTTAAACAACAGTCAAGGGTAGAGATTCTGTGAAATACTCCTCAATGGAACTGAACACAATATATAGCAAACTGCTTCAGTTTAAACTTTAGTATTTAGGGGCGGTTAAGAAGAGATTATACCTTTTTACATTCTGTCCGTCTATCTGTCCGTAGGAATTCTCTACTGTGATTGGTGGCATTGTCTGCTCTTTTGGACCTGAATATTGTAAAATTGTAGAATTACATTTGATATATATAGAGTTAATATCATTTTTGTGTATCAAATCATGTAGTTCTTTATGAATGTAATTGAGATCATTGTTTCAAATACCTCTATTCATAGGTTCAACTATTCTTATCTCAACAAAAGATGAAATATTTCTGAGTTTGCAGTGACACATAAATGCATGAATCAGACATGAAAAATCTCCAGCTGGAAAAAAATTCAGATAACCAACATTGTGCTATAAGTTCACTTGTGTGTTGAGGTTCATCTTCTAGGCTCTAGGATACATAGTGGTATACACAGGTCTTTTAAAACGTAGTTAACGAATAAAAAAAAAGCAATGTAAGCTGTGCCCCGATGACGGCCTGCCTTTAGGCAAAAACTTGTCGCCAACCTGCTGTATAAGAAAGTAGAATATACTATTGACCTTCCTTGCTTCAGGAGTTGGTGCAACTTTTTTCTGTGCGATCATCATTGTTCCCATTATGATTGTGTATTTGGGCAAGATACTTCACTCCAACCACTATGACGGCATGGGGTAGGTTTCCTACATTATTACATGTAAAATTATTTGACAGGGTTATAAACAAAAACACACATTCCTATTAACTTCTTTAAGTGAAGTGTTTGTTGGTTATTAAATCAGAGGTATTGTGTTTGACCTTTAAAGGGATGTATGCATTAGGTATATGTCCCTCAGAGGAGGCATTGTAGAATTATTATACGGTGTACAATTTCTGGCCCCACATCATACATGAGTCTAAATGTTGCAATTTTTGTGTTGGATCAGAGAAAACAAGTGATGATGCATGTATGTTTAGTAGCTGTGAAAGAAACGGCCACTTAGTGGCAACACTTGTTCATTCTGTTATATGTAGCGTTTCGAATTATAATCTGATTGGGCGCGTGTGTACACATAAACATGTCATAAAACTAAATCCCTGTTATACAAAACAGGAACGTCCCTGTATTTGTATGTAGGGGCATCGGTACACGTACACAGAGTGACTGCTTCTACTTGAATCGTAATACAAGTATTAAACAAAAACACTTGCCCTATGTAATGATGATGTCGTCGTAAATAATGGTCAATTTATGGATGGACACACTCTAACATACAGTTTATGCCACGGTGAAGGCTAGCTGGGGGATAAAAAGTTTACATCGCTAATGGAAGTCACTAATTGACTATAACTTGCGGAGGTGGCTCGACGTACCCAATGTCCGGCCCATGTTAAAACATGGGACATTTTGCAATTATTGAACAAAATCAAAATTTTAAATCAAAATTTGTAGCTTCTTCAGTTACACAACAACAGTCTGATATAATATCTTATTTTTCTGTACGTTTGATTTTATTGTGCCGTCCAATTTAACATATCCGTCCAATTTAACATATCAGTTAGATTGACGTTACCGATATAAAATGTTGGGGAAATATATATTTTCAAAGGACAACAGAAATATCTATCTCTGTACAAACATTTGCAGTCGATGTGGTAATGTTACCATCAAGTAGAAAAAGTTCTGGATATAGGTATGTCTCTCACATTAAGGTCCCGGATGCAATCTTTTTATACCGAAAGTATAATATGTAACAACATTTTGGCACGATTATAAATTATTAGCAATGAGAGTGAAATATATTTATTTGTTATATGGACGGCACAGAAAGATTGTTAAATCTTTAGTTTTGTTTATTTTTGTTTCTATCATCTTTTTTATTTGGTTAGTCTTATATATGTCTCTAGTTTTATAAGGTGGCCTGTTTCCATTGGTGGAAGTAGTGAAAAATAACACAAAATTGTTGATTTCATTGCAGTGAAAATTTCTATTGATTTGATGTATCTTTGTTTCACCGGTGAAAACATGATAACACATATCATTCACTGTGTAAGTCCCACAGCACCTTCTCCGGTAACGATTCCCTTTAGATAGAGCGACTCGAATTAGTGTTTTTTCATATCTTTTTTCAGTCAGGGTCACGTGGTGCTATTTTTAACACACAAGTGTAACATGGAGTAACATAAACAGCTATATATAGGGCTAGATAGTTTACGGTGAAGTTCGCTTAATATCGCCGTTTATCTTTCCTGTATTAATTACAGATAAACATTTACGGTGTTTTGTACATAAGTGTTTAAGTTTGAAAACAATTTATACAAATTAACACATCAAACACTCGTTCTCTGTGACCTGTATTTCGTGTAAGCGAGCTTTACCTAGTCTACCTAAAACTGTCTCTACAGAGTCGTTTTACCTCACCTTTCTCCTTAGTTTGATTGTAGTCAGGTTCTTTCGTTGCGATAACGATGATAACGATGACGAGAACGACAATGACAATTCCCCCGGCGGTGCCAGCACATATTAATTTTCGTTTGCTGTTCTGATAGTGGCGGGACATGGCGAATACACGAGTGTTAACCCCAGTGAAACGAGAACCGATTTCGGGCCTCTATAACCTTGATTTACACCACAATACAGCTCCAGTGGAGCGTCTTCAGCTTATACCATAAACAACTGCATGCGTTTATCAGTACGTACTGAGTGAGCATTCTATTTGTAAATAAGTACAAGACATTGCAGATTTTAATGATTTGTCATTTAGAGTTTCTACTTAAAACATAAATGTAAAATTAGAAGAATGAAAAAGCTGAAAGATGCAGCTTATTTTTCCCCATATATTTCAAAGTTTCGTCCCTTAACATCACTGACGAATCCTTGAAGAACGAAAAAGCTGAATGAAGTAGTTTATTTTTTGCATAGACTTCAAAATTTCATCCCTTAACATCACTGACGAATCCTTGAAGAACGAAAAAGCTGAAAGATGCAGTTTATTTCTGTCGTAGATTTCAAAACTGATGCCCACAGCGTCACAGACGAGTGCCAGAGGAAGGGAACTGTGTTTAAATGTGTGTATCACTTGTGTCTTTTTAGAAATCTGTAGTGAGCATGTAAAGGCTGAAAAATTTATCAGCCTCAGATGGAGATAAATATCGTCGGTCTATATTTACCAAGTGTTGAAAAGAAGTCAATAATATGAAAAAGTACTGCAGGCTACAGTTTTATGAGCATGCCCATGGCGTTATTGATAATTACTTATCTACTGATCCCAAAGCTTACTGGAGATTAATCAAACGGTCAATTAATTCTTGTGGTACATCTAATGACATACCAATTCTGGTAGACCCTTTTACTGATACTGTAATTACTAGTGATGTAGATAAAGCTGATCTACTTAATGACTATTTTTGCAGTATAACTAGTATTGATGATTTTGACGCCCAAGTTCCAGATATTGCTCCAAAAATCAATAAAACTTTTAATTTTATTAAAGTAAATTATATGGAAATAAAAGATGTGTTGCAAATACTGAAACTTGGAAAGGCCTCGGGCCAGGATGAAATTAGTCATTATATGCTAAAAAATGTTTGTAATACAGTTTGTAAACCACTTGAGTTACTAATTAATATGTCACTCTCTGTTGGTGTTGATCCCAAAGTGTGGAACTTAGCTAAAGTTATGCCGTTGTTTAAAAAGGGTGATAGACACTCTCCTTCTAACTACAGGCCAATATCTCTACTGTCTACTGTTGGCAAAGTTTTCGAACGTGTAGTTTTCAATCATATCTATAATTATTTTATAGAAAATTCGTTGTTTTATCAATATCAGTCTGGTTTCTTGCCCGGACATTCTACTTTATATCAACTGATTGAAATGTATCATAATATACTAGTATGTCTAGCACTCGAAGAAAAAAACATACATGTATCGTCTTTTGTGACATCTCAAAAGCTTTTGATAGAGTTTGGCATGAAGGTTTGTTTATTAAGTTAAAATCCTATGGAATAGACGGAGAGCTATTGGCTTGGTTGAAGGACTATTTACATCAGAGACATCAAAAAGTATGTGTTAATGGGTCTTTTTCTAAATTAGGTTTTATTGATACTGGGGTTCCACAGGGTTCTATTCTTGGCCCTCTTTTATTTCTAATTTATATTAATGATATAGCAGATGTATTTGATTCAGCTTCATGAGACTATTCGCAGATGACACTTCTCTCCAATGTTCTTCTTCCTCCTATCAAGAAATTCAAACTATCCTTAACAAAGACCTTGAATCTCTTATAACTTTTAATCCTGACAAAACGGATGTACTTTTCATCTCTAATAATAATGAAATAGAAGGTTTATTAGAATTAGAATTTGATGGAAATATTTTAGATTTCACTGATAGTCACAGACATCTAGGTGTTATTCTCAACTCAAGTATTAAGTATTGATTATGAAGTGTAGATAGATGTTAAAAAGTCATTTATTAATACGCATGTTAAAATCCTGTCGTCTGTGATGAAATATGTGACGTCATAAAGTGGAGATATGTATGTGGCCTTCTTCCCTTTAATCTAAAGTTCGATTGTGAAACTCCCAAAATGTTTTAGGATTTTATTGACAATAAGACATATTTCTACTTAAGTTAATTAGCTCGGCGTTCCGTAATTTCTTTTATTTTGATACAATGTGGATGTTTTTTTCTTTCAAACTTTGAGTCTAACACTGTATCCCCAACCAGAATCATAAAAAAAGTATTGATAGAAGTAATGGAAAGGAACATTTATTTATCAATAATGGATTTTACCTTTCATTCTATCGGAAATGTTTGATAAATATGTATTTATTTATTTGTGTCATTTATTCAAATTATTTTTAATAAATGGAAAATATTTTTTTCTTTATTCCGGAATTAGAGGCTAGGCCAGCTTTTAGTTTCTTCATATTTGTAAACTGGAGAGTGATTGGTCAGTATTTCCCAATCTAACCAATCACCTAGACTTTTGTAACGACTGTCTGAGGCAACTACAGCGGCCATTTTCAAACAAATATTTTTAGCAGAAAAAATCAAGATCAGACAAGACAATAAATACTATATTCTGACGGAAACCATTCACTATAAAACAAGAGATGAAGCTGTTTTCTCATGTCATGGATTTCCAAAAAGGTTTGAAGAATTTTGTGATATAGAAATCTCGGCGAATAGGAAAAAACGAGCATGTATATCTATTTACACTCTCAGACACTCAATCAGTAGTCAATTAGTGATATGAAATGCTGACATTGTGCTTTACATAACATCACAATAATGTTTTCCGAATTTGATGTTGTGGAAACAATCAATAAGGCCGAAAATAGTAGTAGATTTTCTGTTGTATATGGGGGAAATCTGATTGTTGTCGAATCGAACATTTGGTGTGGGTTGGAGTCAAAGCCACGAGAATAGTTTGGAGTGAAAATATATAGCTACTATACATTAGCCTATTCCATTGGCAACAATTAAACCTCATTCACAATAGGCCCTTTTCCTAACACCATATTTGATTGCGTCTTCATCAACATAAAAATGCAATTGTGATGAATACTAGTAGCATTGCACAGCTAGGCTCAATTGGTTGAGGTATGACTAATAAGACAGGCATCCTGGGTTCATATCCTAGCAGAGACATTTAAAGAAATAATGACCCCTGTAATACAGGTGCCCATTGTGTTATGTGGTTCTTTTGTCATAGTCTGTAATAGATAACCAAACCCAAGCAGATACTTTGCAGCTGTTTATTGGTTTTTCCAGGATTCCAAGATGTTACAAAATAAAGGCATCCCAATTAAAAACACTCCTGATTTTCGTACAATAATTATAATCACATTACCTTATCATGCAGACTTCTGGAATGATTACATTTACACTTGTATTACAATATTATAGATAGCATTAATATTCTGACAATGAAAGAGTGGCCCAAATAGAACTATTGTTATTTAGAGAAACAGCTATTGATTTACATTCTGAATGTAAGTAAATACTGTTTTAGGTTATCCAAAAACAGGTTACGGTATTATGGTGCCTAGATACTGAAAATATAGTCCCTTATGGTTTTAAACACATGACTGCAAGAGCAACAAAATATTCTGCTTGAAAATCTAACAGGTCAAATTCTGTCTCTGTTCACCAAAATATACATGTGCAATGCATGTGAAAAAATGGAAGCCCCAATCCTTTTCCTATCAGGATGTTGTCTTACAATAAACAGGAAGAACCCTACTGATTATCCATGATGTATTGAGTTTCATCCTGTAATTTTTGGAAGTGTGATTCTAAAGATATGGGGCTGCCGATTCTATCAGATGCAAATTAAATTCTATTGGATTTCTGCCAATATAACAGGGTGCTGTAAACATTTTAGCTTGTTTTCCGATGATGAACTTTAAAATTCCCAAATTATGATGACAAAAATTAGTAAAATATAACAGCAAATACTAAATAAAGCAAGTGAAGAAAAAAAGGACAGAACGGGTGTGCTACATCACATTAAGCTAGAATTTATGTTGCATATGACATTGGGAGGCATGCCAATTATAGAGTTACTGGCATGTAAAATTGTCCACTTTGGCATAATGGATATTCCCAAGTTACGAAGGAATTTGGATGTAAACCAAACTGGTCTGTTTTACTTTTTAGGTTTGACCCAATGAATCCCTAGATAATCCTTTGATAGTGACACAGCATGGAAAATTTTGTCCTGTATGAAGAGCTTGGGAGGGGAGATCACTCAATCATATATAAAGGCAGACGGAAAGGAACCATTAATTTTGTAGCTATCCATTGCATTGAAAAATGCAAACGTCCAGAAGTGACCAACACAGTAAGTAAACCAGTTAATTTGTCTTTATCCTTGGAATAAGATCAGGTGTTTGTTTTATTTTCTACGTTCTTACGACAATAGTATGTGAATTAAACATGTTTCATAGTGTGATAAATGTTTGACTTTATGAAAAGTATTAGAAAGGCTGCAATCATGGTTATTTTCTCATAATCTTTTTATAAATATTGTCAGTGAAATTATTTAATACAAAGAATGAATGCTATTTCAACTTTTACTCACCTTAAAGTTGTAAAATCACCAAAACTGTCCATAAATTTGACATGACAGTTGTCCCCAAATCTTCATTTTCAAAACGCTTTGTGTTGTATTAATGACACAGCATTTGTAATTCTTCTGAACAGGAAGAAATATGGATGAGTGTTATACTGAGCATACAGTCTGTTGCCAGATCATTATGAAATCTTTTTGTTATTCCAGTGCTACAATTTTATTGGTATATTGTAAAAACAAGTGGAAACAAACATTATTCCATCTTCTCTATGAAGTCAGTTTCTAAACTGTTTTTTTCCTCTTTCAATTAGGTACGAATGACCCATGACATTCAGAATCCAAATGTGGTGAAATTCCATGAGTGGTATGAGACAAGTAATCACTTGTGGCTCGTGGTTGAATTGTGTACAGGAGGAAGTCTCGAGGTCCTCATCAACCAAGACAAGAATCTTCCTGAGAGCTCTGTCCGCACCTTCGGTATCGACCTTGTCACTGGCCTTCATTATATACATTCTCTTGGCATTCTTTTCTGCGACCTTCGTCCATCAAAGGTATATTTATGTTGAGGAAACTGTTTGCTGATAAATGTTTTCTATAATGTTTTTCAGTTATCTTCTTTGGTGATTTGAAGCCCTGGAAAAAGAAGTTTGGTGCAAGTCTTAGAATAATAACTTCTGACATTTTCTTTCAATGTTTGTCAGTGTTTTACAGCTTTCATGCATTTTTGTACTAAACTATATACACATCACATAAACTTTGTTAATTCAAAGACTTGTGATTTCCACTAAATTACAGAATTAATTATTTAACTATAAGTTTATATAAGTATTTGACCCAGATTTAGATTACAACCAAACATTAATTATTTTCCCCTCAAAGTTCCAAATATTTGAGCTGTAAATTCATCTACAATCAGTAAAAGTGCCATGCGTCACTTTTTTCAATCAGAAGTATTTCAGCCATATATCATGATTTATTATACTATTATAAAGAAAAGAGAACATACTATTGTTTTTGTCACTGGGATATTTATCTAATTCACCCAAAAAGTTTGCTAGTACAAAAAGTTAGACAAATCACTGTACACGTCTTAAAAATACATTCTGTGTATATGCTAACCATCTTTTTCCAGAAAAGCCAAATCCAGATGAAAGGATCAGAATTATGTTGTATGATTCCACTTACCTTCTACTTATCAGATTCTTCTCGATGGGAAGGGCATTCTGAAGTATGCAGACTTTGGTTTATCAAAAGTTGAAGGAGAGAACCTGGATGAGTTGTTCCAAAAATTCTCAGAGGCTGGAGAACAGTGGAGTGCTGAGCTGGGAGACGACCTGGCATCAATGAAGAAGTATAAATCTTCAGGTACAGTGTTGTCATGTTGAAATACTCCAAAGGTATGTTTCAACATGGGGCTGCAATAGCTCAGTTGGTTAGAGTGTTGGCCTATGTAACCTCGGATGAAGATCTGAGGTGCACAGTTCAACATTCAAAGCCATTGTGGGTTTGCGTTTCTCAGGAAAGAGAGAAACAACCCAGTCTGTGCTGATGTAGTTGTGTCCTTGGGCATGACTCTTTACCTAATTGCTCTTGATGTTATGTGACAGGCCTCACGTATGTTGTTCAGGGAGGTAGCCACCAGCTGCTACAAGGAGACTTGGACACAAATGACCCTGGCTTCTCTCATTGGGTTAAAACCCGACCGACAAAATGATTTAACAACAATATGGGTCATAAAGGGACTAATGTCAATTGCTAAAATACCCATTGAAAATCAAAACATGGTGTTGAGACCTAGCCATCTCAGTGTATGCCTTGGTGATCAAAAGAGTTTAAATACTACAAAGTTGTCTCTAATAATATGTGATTTCAGAGTATTCATTTAATCAACACTTTGTCAGATGATTTACAATGTATGTCATTTTCTAGGTTCAACTACATACAGTGCACCTGAGGTTTTACAGGGCGGAGAAGTGACCATCCTGAGTGACCTGTGGTCACTCGGCTGTGTTCTGTATGAAATATTCACTGGACACCCACCATTTCTTGCTGAGTCAATACAACAACTGAAGGAGAAAATCATTCATAAGGCATTAACCCAACCAAAGGTTAAAGGTAAGAGACTGCCCCCACTGAGGTTAAATGGAAAATGCTGACCCCACTGAAGGTTAAAGGTAAGACACTGACCTCACTGAAGGTTAAAGGTAAGAGAATGATCCCATCAAAATAACAGGTAAAGCATTGACTCATCAAAGGTCAAAAGTAAGGCATTGAATGTATTCCATTCATCAGTCAGCCCTTTGTTCTGAGTATCTTTAGTGCTGTTTATCTATAATTGCTAAATTTTGTATATGAGTTTTCTACATGATAGTTGGATGATGGTGGGATGTTGCATACCAAAATCAGATCTCGTGTCAAAATATGTAAGGAATCATGGCCATTTGCACATTTTAGTTATCAATTTTTTAGAAGTGTAGAGCCAATGCCGTTCTTCTCGTAAAGATAGTGTTTGTTCCATTATCCCTTGCTTGGATTCTAATTATAATTAAATATGGAATTTGTTGTGTTGTCTGGATGTGTGAATGAATTGCTACACTTGGTCCTGGGACTGTCATGGGTACCCGGTTACCTGGGGTGGGTTTGGGTTCAACCTGGATTGGATAATGTGTACCCAAACCCAGGAACATTGCATTATTTTATCCATATTTCAAGGTAATTTATTATCTGCTGTTCATTGTAAATATTATGAGTCATACACATTTTAAGTCATTTAAAAATGTGTATGAAGATCCAAGAGTGTGATGCTTACCTTGGTACTTTTGTAAATCTTAGCTTATAAAAGATGGTTGACAACTATATTGTAATTCATAACTTCATATCCTTTCACTTCATACCTAGTCAAAACAGCAGAGTTTATAGGATTTAACAGGTGATTTTATTCATGAAACATTTAAAATCAGCAGTCATCTTTATTTTTGAATTCTGAATGGTTACCTTATGTGTAACAGAATATGGGGCAGGTTGCATAGGTTGGGTACCTGGGGCTGACATTTTGGACCAGTGACAGCTCTACTTTGTCTTGCAGACTGATTTTGTAGATGATACATGTAAGCGTTTGCATGGGGCTTTTAACCAGTGGTGCTTTGGAACCTTAATCTAAGGTATATTTCCGAACTTCCTTCCATAAAAGGAAACAAGATTATAGGAAATTATCATCAATGTTTGCTTTCCTCTAGGAACAAGGTTTTCGTCTATGCCATCACCTGATTTTCTGAGTCTGCTAGAAGGCCTGCTTCACAAAGACCCAGAACAAAGGTATAGTGAATGTCTGACTCCTTGTCTACCCAGTATATTTATCCACTGTCCATTTATCCAATTGTAATGTTGTATTCCTTCTATCAAGCAATATCTACAGTATATCTACCATGTTCTAAGTACTAGATGATCTTCCTTTCCTGATTTTTGAGAAAGGAAAAAATTGTTTTGCCCTTTTCATCTCCTAAATTCTAAGAGTAAAAAAAATCAGTAGAAACAATAGAAATATATTCTATAGTTTGATTTTACAAAAAATTCCTTACAAGAGAAATTTACCAGGTTTATTGGATTCTTGGCTATGTTTTCATGATTGTGAATGAAAATTGTTTCGCTTCAATTTATTCTTTATGAAATGAAGGATTAAAGTAAACAAAAAAAAAAACCCAGACTTTCCTTAACATTTTAAAAACTTTTTAAATTGTAATTTGAACTTGGTGAAGTTTGAGAAACTGGAATTAGATGTTGATATTTTGTACAGATTAGGGTGGCCGGGTTTGGTGAACCATCCGTTCTGGCAGGATCAGCTGGGTCACCTTGCAAAGGATCTGGTGTTGTCGCAGGATGTACACAGCAGCATTGCCTCCACTTCACGCAGTAGTGTCTTTGTTGATGGCACTGCATCTGCCCTTGGTAAAATTAAAACCATAGATATGGGTAAGAGTACAGACAGACCCATGTGCACTCTGGATGTCCCTGACACCATGCTCCGACCAGGTAGGGACATACTTTGGTTTGGTATACACTTGTACATGGCAGCAGTAAAAAGTCTATTCTGCAAGTGTTGATTTAGAATTGATATATATATATATATTTGAATTAAAGTTGAGAACACTATAAAACTTTGATAAAAACCAGGGCTATTAGTTTAGTTTTGACACAGTGTGCACAACTTGATTATTTTTAATACAGACACTCTTAGTGATGTTTAACGCTGACTTTATATAGAACACAAAAATGCAACAACAGTAGTGTATCAGTCAATGTGAAGTGTATTTGCTGGTTATAGAGGAAGAAAATGTATTTTTTACAATGTGACAATCTACTTTGAATCACCTTACCATATCAGATTGAAATAGCAGAGATATGGAAAATTGTATCAAAGCACAGGTATCGCATTACTTATCAAATTGCAATGAATTGTTTCACCCTAATATAAGCTTTGTTGTTGCGATTTGTTTAATTGTGTGAATTGAGCACAATTTAGTCCTGGTTTAATTTTGTACCTCATAGATTTTATTTTAGAATAAAACTCCAAATATTCCTCTGAAGGATGATACATTCTGAGGGTTAACACGTTATAATAGTCATTTGATTTACTGAAAATAAAATTTCAATGGGAGTATCCTGGTGTGACCAGTTAATTATGTACGCTATGGCGTTATAGCTATATGTCATTAATTCATGTATGTGTGTGCTGATTCAGTAAATAAACAATCACTGGCAGTAGTCAGGGAAATCGAAAAAAAAAAAATTAAAGAATAAAATTTTTTTCTGCATATTTTACTAAAAGGAAAAAAAAAAAAAAAAAAATAAGATAGAAGATAAGAAATAAATTCTGCTTAAAGTGAACATACAATGATGGAGAATCTTCTATATCAACATTCACTCTGAAATATGACAACTCATGGTTACAGGATCAACATTGGGAGATTATATGCGGCCCAAAACAGCACCAGGTAGTGACGGAGGAGCTACTCTCTTTACTCTGAGGTAAAATATCACTGAGTATTTGTCAACATTCCAGTGTATGTACGGTAGATTGATGGAACACATATCAAATATATAGTGAGGAGAGTGTAGGTGATTTAGGTCAGAAAGACATGCCTTTGGAGATGTTTACATGTTTAAATTGGGAATATTTGCTGAAAACATTTGGTGTTTCTTAAGTTTGAAGAGAACCTTGTATAGAGGCTTTGTAGCAAATATGAAAAAGGTCCTAATGGTGATAATTTTTAACAAATTTAATCATTGCTGAACTCTAAAACAGAAAGTTATGTTAAGTATTACAAATTTCAGAACCTCTATAAAACTTCCCATACATATTTTCAGCACTCGTCCACTCACTGCCACACCAGATGATAGAGTGGGCTCCCCTCACAAGGCCACACAATCCCCATTGTCAACGAGGGAGGTTATCGGAGCCACAGTCACAGGGGATCAGAGTCAGGCTGAAGAGACGAGAAATGAAGTTCTAGATCTAGTTTTCCATCCAAGTGACTTTCAGGTTACACCAATCATGGATAACTCAAAGGTGGGTCATCAGGCCAAGCAAAATTAATGTTGCATTTCAGGTTTTTTTTTGGCAAAAAATTCAAGTATTTTTTTTGTGATATATAATAACTTGTCAGACATGAAAATCTTTTTAGTCTCTTTCTTTCGATGATTTTTAATTTTAACTTATCTGATATCAGTATTTGAAAATACATCTGCACCAGTATTTACGGCTAAATCATAATTGTGAATTTGAAAATATTGTTGGTAAATAAAAATGTGCATTTTTTTTCAGATTCAGAAGCCTCCACCTTCTAAATTTGATTCAAAAATTCTCCCTGTCCCTCCTTATTCAGGTAGGTAATAGTAAATTTATCCAGGAAAAGAGGTAGTAGGAAACAGTTAATCTGTGTTTTTTCTGAAATTATAGGTCATGTTTGGGATATACACATATAGCAGATTGGTTATAAAAATCACATCCTTACATGTATATATAGTTATAAACAACATAACAATTACATTAATAGTAGAGAAATAAAAATTGTGTAAATAAAAAAATTCCCCTGATTTCTGACATGAGATTGCCATGGTTACCTACTGAAAAATGCTAAGAATGCCAAAATACTACTAATTCCAACTTAACACTACAACTTCATAGAAGGAATTTATTTCTGAACACCTGTCTTAAATTATACAACACTGTCATGGTAAAAAATTACTTATGTTTCAGCAAATTCAAACTTGGAATGTTTTCACAGCATGAGCATGTGTAAACAGTAAGGAAATTTTACTTCTGTGTAAAGCTAGTTTTTGATGTGTAGACACAGATTCAACACTGCCCAAATAGGAATCCCCAACACATTTCAAAAATATAATTCTGAAAAATATAGAACCCACATTGTCCACTTTAACATGACAAGACAAGTTTTAGGAAGGATTTATGTTTGAAATTTCAATTGAAACCTTTATTATGGGGTATTCTATTGAATAATAATATCACCTGTGGCCACACAGAAAGGCAGTGTACTGCTACCTACAGTTACAATAAGGTGGCTTTGTTTTATATATTATAGAGACAGACCAGGTATATTAAAATTCATGTCTAAAAATCTTAAAAAAACGCTGCCATGTTAGGGTTCCTTTGTTTTCTTCATGTTTAAATGTCTGTTTGTCTCTCAGTGTTTTGTTTGGCAATTTTGAAAATTTTGTGGGAGTCATTTGAGGTCATGGATATGGCACTTTTTCCCGTTCAGTGATTGTTGAAATATATTGCCATACTTAAAAAACAATTTAGCACCCCACACTACACAGCCTTGCCATTGCATTCATCTACTGTTTAAATCAGGTTTATGAAATGAAAGTTGTTGATTGTATTTCCAGTGGAGAAGATCAATGCCATGTCTGAGAAAGATTTACATAAACATGTGAAGAACATCATGGACAATCTGTCTAACACAGAAAAGGGTCCACCCTCTCAGAAACGTATCCACCTTCTTCACTACCTGGTCAGTGTGGTCAGCTGTGCTTCTGTGGCCACACTGATGGTCAAGCAGAATGCATTGACTGTTCTGGCCAAAGTTGTCAAGGAGACACAGCATCTGGAAGTGTAAGTTGTTAATGCCTAATTATCTCCCTTTTTCTGAATCTCGGGATGTATTTAGGTCACAAGTTCATACAGCAAGTGCTTTAATTCTGTTACCTGAGAATACAAATACTGAATAGTCAGACAATTAAGTAAATCTAAACTATTTTATCCTTAATTGCATTACTTATCCTTCAATAAGCCCATGTCTCATAATAAGCTTACCCATATCTAGTGCTGTGCAGGAGCATTACCTACTATTTCACTGGTCAGAAATAAGCCCACCTCTGAGGTATTACATTAGCCCTGCTGGAGTTATCACAAGATAAATGCAGTATATACCTGCTAGGATCAGGATAGGTTAAAAAAATGTTCAGATAGCAATACAATAGGTATACACTGCTGTTAATGTCAATCTTGCTACTTCTAGTTTATTTACCATTCTTGATTTTTTTTCTAGATTAAAGACACTACGTTTTGTAGATTATTGTTTTACTGTTGTATAAATTAAGTGTAATGTATAGTGGTTGATTATTTTCTCTGTTTGTGGATAGAACATTTTCTAGGATAGTTAGGAGCCAGTTTTGTCATAGTATATACATATGTGTATTAGACCATTCAACCAGTGTTAAAATCTCCCAATAGTATAAAAACAGCATTCAGTCGCTAAATGTCAGAATTTTACATGTGTTGGTGAATAATTGATGTTCTGGTCTTTGTTACAGTAAAACTAAGGCTGCTCGTGTGATTGGTCTGTTGGCTGTAAACACAGCGACACTGGACGAGACGACCAATGTATCTGAGGTGAGATTACACTACAGGTTAAGGTCATGGTAGATAAGGAAAGATAAGTATATATCACAAAAAAGATTGAATTTATTTTGCCAATTTTTATGATTGTCAGCTGAAGTGAAAATATTGGGTATTTGGTAGTTTCCCTTCATTGATAAGATACCATTAATTTGAAAGATTTATTACTATCAGATTTTTGACTGCAATTAGATCTATGCTATCATTTTTTATATCTGTTTTATAGATGTGCTGCAAGCCACAAGCTTTTGTTTTTACAAGAAGTGAACTAAGTATCAATACATGTAACTAGTGAAGCCAGTTTGTTTTTCCTCAAAATTACATGCAAAATGTTACAAAATGCTGTATTTTTAACTGAAATCTCTTTGTAGACTTTGACCATCCTAACAGAGGTGATAAGAGAAAATGTGAAAAATGGTAAATTGAAGCAAGGTGTTCTGCCAGCTGTTGGAGAGGTCCTGTATATGGTGGCTGTACAGGTAAGTGAGTTAGAGCGTGGGATTTGGAGAGGTCATGTTAGTGGTGGCTGTACAGGAAAGACAGAGAGGCTGGATGCGTGGGAGGTCCTGTTAGTGGTGGCTGTACAGGTAAGTCAGAGAGAGGCTGGATGTGGGAGAGGTCATGTTAGTGGTGGCTGTACAGGTAAGTCAGAGAGAGGCTGGATGTGAGAGAGGTCATGTTAGTGGTGGCTGTACAGGTAAGTCAGAGAGAGGCTAGATGTGGGAGAGGTCCTGTTAGTGGTGGCTGTACAGGTAAGTCAGAGAGAGGCTGGATGTGAGAGAGGTCCTGTTAGTGGTGGCTGTACAGGTAAGTCAGAGAGAGGCTGGATGTGGGAGAGGTCATGTTAGTGGTGGCTGTACAGGTAAGTCAGAGAGAGGCTGGATGTGGGAGAGGTCATGTTAGTGGTGGCTGTACAGGTAAGACAGAGAGAGGCTGGATGTGGGAGAGGTCCTGTTAGTGGTGGCTGTACAGGTAAGTCAGAGAGAGGCTGGATGTGGGAGAGGTCATGTTAGTGGTGGCTGTACAGGTAAGTCAGAGAGAGGCTGGGTGTGGGAGAGGTCATGTTAGTGGTGGCTGTACAGGTTAGTTAGTGAGAGCTGGGGATTTGTAGAGGTCCTGTTATTGGTGGCTGTATAGGTAGAGTGATGACCCTGTTCAAGGCAGCCCTACAAGTAAGTCGGTGAGAAGCTTGAGTAAAGGCAGAATTGGAAAATGTGATATATCAGAATCAATACACAAAGTTAACTAAAAATCTAAAACTTATTTTGAAGTTATGATAAAAAAGGTTTTAATGCTGGTTAGTCAATATCTACTTTCTACTCTTAACTTAATATATTGATATGTTATAAGGCCTGAATTTGTTACAGGAACAGAGTCGAGTGCAGCCAGTAGAGGCATGGACTGTGCCCTCAATGACTTTTACAGTCATAGCACGCTGTTGTAGGGAAGGGGTAAGTATGGATATTTAGTAAGGTGATGTGATAAGTGGATGAAATCTTAAGTGGACATCAAGCTTTCTACTGTATAAACAAATAATATTTGATATATGTATCTTAGTCATGATGTAAACAATCACATCATGTATGTACAGACTCACCCGTAAAGACACATCTGTCGATGTAAGACACTCTACAGAAACATAACAGTGTGATGTGTCTATATGTGGAAATATCAGTTTATATAACTCTAATCTGAATTGTTAGAAATGTATATATGATGCCAGAGAGGATGATGAAGTGCAAGAGTATCTTAAGCTGTTAGCTGCTTATCTCCAGTTAGACCATGTATGGTTTAAGCATGTCTGCATAAATAAAATATAAATATATTAAAGTATGGATAAATAAATATAAGTATACTTATTGTACTGGTGGACATCATGTGGTCAAGAGGCCATATAAAGAGCTTGATTGTAATTTTGTTGGCCTTACAGTGGTCATTGTTTGAAAATAAAAGATTAGAAGTTGTCATGTGGTGGTAGAGGAATGGATAAGTGAGTTCCACACTTATTATTCCTTATAACTAATGTTCCTTTAGAAAGTGAAGAATGTGCCTTGTGAATTTGGTTTTGAGGGTCCTGGATTCCTGGCTTGTGGGAACATCTATGTAATATTCGTCAGTGAATAGTTGATATATCAGGCTGTGTCATGTACAATTAATTATCTCCTCTACAACAATAGCTATAAGACACCAATATCATGCTCATTAATTCTCTGTTATATTTCGTGTTAAATGATATGTACATGTTTGTTTTTTATTTTGGTACGAAAAAGACTATTGTTGCGATACATTGTGATTTGTTATGTCAAAATAAATTTTCCATTTATAGGAGGATGTTGTGGTGAACCATGTGGCTGCTAAGATAGTAGAGAATGTGGTGACAACACGAGGACAGCACACACAGGTAAAACCAACAACATGGGGACAGCACACACAGGTAAAACAAACTACACTGGGACAGCACACACAGGTAAAACCAACAACAGAGGGACAGCACACACAGGTAAAACCTACAACACTGGGACAGCACACACACATAATACAAAAAACATGGGGACAGCACACACAGGTAAAACCAACAACACTGGGACAGCACATGCACATAATACAATAACATGGGGACAGCACACACAGGTAAAACAAACTACACTGGGACAGCACACACAGGTAAAACCAACAACACTGGGACAGCACACGCACATAATACAAAAAACATGGGGACAGCACACACAGGTAAAACAAACTACACTGGGACAGCACACACAGGTAAAACCAACAACACTGGGACAGCACACGCACATAATACAAAAAACATGGGGACAGCACACACAGGTAAAACAAACTACACTGGGACAGCACACACAGGTAAAACCTACAACACTGGGACAGCACACACAGGTAAAACCAACAACAGAGGGACAGCACACACAGGTAAAACCAACAACAGAGGGACAGCACACACAGGTAAAACCAACAACACTGGGACAGCACATGCACATAATACAAAAAACATGGGGACAGCACACACACGTAAAACCTACAACACTGGGACAGCACACACAGGTAAAACCAACAACACTGGGACAGCACACACAGGTAAAACAAACTACACTGGGACAGCACACACAGGTAAAACCAACAATACTGGGACAGCACACACAGGTAAAACCAACAACACTGGGACAGCACACACACATAATACAAAAAACATGGGGACAGCACACACAGGTAAAACCAACAACACTGGGACAGCACACACAGGTAAAACCAACAACACTGGGACAGCACACACAGGTAAAACCTACAACACTGGGACAGCACATGCACATAATACAATAACATGGGGACAGCACACACAGGTAAAACAAACTACACTGGGACAGCACACACAGGTAAAACCAACAACACTGGGACAGCACACGCACATAATACAAAAAACATGGGGACAGCACACACAGGTAAAACAAACTACACTGGGACAGCACACACAGGTAAAACCAACAACACTGGGACAGCACACGCACATAATACAAAAAACATGGGGACAGCACACACAGGTAAAACAAACTACACTGGGACAGCACACACAGGTAAAACCTACAACACTGGGACAGCACACACAGGTAAAACCAACAACAGAGGGACAGCACACACAGGTAAAACCAACAACAGAGGGACAGCACACACAGGTAAAACCAACAACACTGGGACAGCACATGCACATAATACAAAAAACATGGGGACAGCACACACACGTAAAACCTACAACACTGGGACAGCACACACAGGTAAAACCAACAACACTGGGACAGCACACACAGGTAAAACAAACTACACTGGGACAGCACACACAGGTAAAACCAACAATACTGGGACAGCACACACAGGTAAAACCAACAACACTGGGACAGCACACACACATAATACAAAAAACATGGGGACAGCACACACAGGTAAAACCAACAACACTGGGACAGCACACACAGGTAAAACCAACAACACTGGGACAGCACACACAGGTAAAACCTACAACACTGGGACAGCACACACAGGTAAAACAAACTACACTGGGACAGCACACACAGATAAAACCAACAACATGGGGACAGCACGCACAGGTAAAACAAACAACACTGGGACAGCACACGCAGGTAAAACCAACAATAGAGGGACAGCACACACAGGTAAAACCAACAACACTGGGACAGCACACACAGGTAAAACCAACAACAGAGGGACAGCACACACAGGTAAAACAAACAACAGAGGGACAGCACACACAGGTAAAACCAACAACACTGGGACAGCACACACAGGTAAAACCTACAACACTGGGACAGCACACACAGGTAAAACAAACAACACTGGGACAGCACACACAGGTAAAACCTACAACACTGGGACAGCACGCACAGGTAAAACAAACTACACTGGGACAGCACACACTGGTAAAACCAATAACACTGGGACAGCACACGCACATAATACAAAAACCATGGGGACAGCACATACAGGTAAAACAAACAACACTGGGACAGCACACGCAGGTAAAACCAACAATAGAGGGACAGCACACACAGGTAAAACCAACAACACTGGGACAGCACACACAGGTAAAACCAACAACAGAGGGACAGCACACACAGGTAAAACAAACAACAGAGGGACAGCACACACAGGTAAAACCAACAACACTGGGACAGCACACACAGGTAAAACCTACAACACTGGGACAGCACACACAGGTAAAACAAACATGGGGACAACACACACATGTAAAACAAACAACATGCAGATTACATTCACAGATAAAATTAGAGTGAAAGCATCAGATACAGGTAAAACATCTGCAAAACAGTTAAAAACTAAACTTAGGCAAAATATAGAGGTAAAACTGTCAATTTGTAAAACACATACTAGTAAATCTTAACACACAGGAAGCACACTCAGATAAAACATACAATATGTGGACAATACTCACAGGTAAAAATAAACTCATGGACAACATACATGTAGGTAACACATGTATCAGGTAGGTGGATGATGCATTGGTAACATACTAGCCTTTCACCTAGCCAACTAGGATTCCATTCGTGAAAAAGGTATGCGGTCACCTGTCTGACTCTGTGGATTCTGGTACTCCAGCTTCCTCTCATAGTTACATCCTACAGTCTTTACCAAGTGATTAGTGTAGTTTTGCAATTGTTGTATAATCAATAAAGTTAATAGTTTTATCACACACATGTAAAACTAAATCTTGAAGAGCACACACAGATTAAACCAAACATGAGTAACACACACACCAACACACAATGTAACATGTAGGCAGCATGAAGATGTCAATCATACAAGATCGAGGAAATAGACATATCTCAAGTAAAACTGTTTACTTCAATTGGTTATAAAAGGAACTATATTTCTCTTCAATATGTAATTTTGCTTCTCTTACAGAAATTTGTGAATAATGAGATGGCACAGTCCCTGTGGTATATCTTTAAACACTCTACTGTGGACTCCCTGCGGATCACTGCTCTGTCTGTAAGTAACTTCCATAGATGATACTAATATCTACTGTAAGGACTTAAATCTACACATCTATGTAAATGTTCAACCCAAATTGAAGAAAACTCAGTATCTGGTGTGGGACCATAACTTATCTCCATTTGTTTAGTGTTCTAACAAAAGGAAATAAAAATACTGTATTCTAACAAAGTCATCTATCTGTCTGCCCAGGCACTATGTCGGTTGACAAGACAGAACCAGCAAGTGTTCCAGAGTGTGATTGACACAGTGGGTCTGACAACAATCATGTCCGCCCTCTCCTTTGGTGTTACACGTATACAGCAGGCCATCGTGACCATGTTTGGGGCCTTGATATCGTCAGGGACGCACCTCAACAGGCTAATACAGGACAAGGTATTCTAGGAATTCTTTTACACCTTGTTTTATCATTGTTATTAGTTATAAACAAGACTCACCAATGTTTTGATGTGTTTTCCAGATTAGATTAACACATAGGTGTTTGTTTTACTTAACCTCAATAGTGTGGTATCATCTTCAGTAGTTTCCACTGAATAACACCAAAATTATTTTAAGGCTATATACTACCTTAGTTATCTCCCTTAGAAGAATGCAGCTTTCTGCAATATATATCAACAATTGAGTGATTATCTAGTCTCCTGATATTGAAATTCTTTAGTTGCATGTCTGAAAGGTGTACTGAAACAATTATGACTTAAATTTTATTGTTCTCAACATAGGAAATGTCATAGAAAAGAATCTGTCGGTGATATGGTGTAATACCAGTGGTGTCTAATTTCATCTTGTTCACAGGACTTCCTGCAGAGGTTAATACGGCTCCTGGACAGTCCATCAACAGTGATTCGGGCCAAAGCATTCGTAGTTTTACACGAGGTGGTCAAAAGCAGCCATGAAATGTTGCTACAAAGTTGTCAGATGAGGTAGTTGGATATTGTTTTTTGGGTTACATAATAACATATATAAAGGATGTAACAAAAATATAAATTCAATATTTTTTCTACCAATATAAACAACATAAATTGAATGCTGTTTACAGATGACATAAATGAAGAATTCCATTCCTAAACCTGAAATTATATATATATTTTTTTTCTAGACATTGATTTTCCTTGCCAATATAATTTTCCAGGAAAACTGTTATTTTCCTTCTAGGTTAGTGATGTATATTGAGCGAGACAGCCGCAGACAGACGCCTCGTGATGGTAAACCTGAGGGTAATGAGTTTGGAGAGTATCTCACCAAATGTCTGGACCTGCTTATCACACATATTGTTGATGGTGTTCCTAAACTCTTCAGTAAGTCACTAATTGTAAACATAACACTAATTTGCTTGTTTGATACATCAACAAGGGTCCATGTTGGCATCTGATCGTCATTATCACTTGCCCTCTACCTCTGGGTTTGAGGCCTTATGTCACCAGGTACTGGTTTTTCTCCGTGAATTCCTGGTTTTCTCGCTGCCACCCAAACTTGGCATGTCCTTACATGACCATGGCTGTTAATAGGACCACCACTGTTTTCTTGATCCACTGATCTCAAATTTGGATGATTCTGAGATTTCAGTGAAATACATACTGTGTATGGTCTACCTCTTTGTACTGCAAATATTTCATAAAGACAAATCAGAAGGTTAGAACTAGTACTACACAGATCTATGTTACATATATGACAAATCAGAAGGTTAGAACTAGTACTACACAGATCTATGCTACATATATGACAAATCAGAAGGTTAGAACTAGTACTACACAGATCTATGTTACATATATGACAAATCAGAGGGTTAGAACTAGTACTACACAGATCTATGTTACATATATGACAAATCAGAGGGTTAGAACTAGTACTACACAGATCTATGTTACATATATGACAAATCAGAGGGTTAGAACTAGGACTACACAGATCTATGCTACAGAATATATAGTACCAGGGATCTCATTGATATTTTATAATTCGCTGTTTTGCTACAGTTAAGATATACATATTATATATGCTGTGGTGTCTTGATACATTTTCAGGAAGGTTCAATATCTAAGATGCTTTGAGTTATATTTCTAAAAACTTTCTTGATTGACATACCCTTTTTTACAGAGGAAATCCTGTCACCTTTGGACGCCATTGCTGGTAGGAAGCATCCTAACACTGTACAGGCCAAACAACTCAAGTCCAGTCTACCGTATATACATATATTCTTACACCTAGTTACTAGTCAGGTAAGTATATATGTATATAGGTGGGTGGGGAGAGGGGGAAGTGTTGAATCACAAGGTTAAAGTTTGTATGGGTCAGAGAGGGTTGTGTTTCTGCCTTATTACTATTAAACATATATTCTTACACCTAGTTACTAGTCCGGTAAGTATATAGGGGTGGGGTGGGCCATTGGAGAGGGGGGAGTGTTGAACACTAGGTTAAAGTTTGTATGGGTCAGAGAGGGATGTGTTTCTGCCTTATAAACATATATTCTTACACCTAGTTACTAGTCAGGTAAGTATATATGTGAGGGGGGGGGGGGGGGGGGGGGAGGGGGAGAGGGGGAAGTGTTGAATCACAAGGTTAAAGTTTGTATGGGTCAGAGAGGGATGTGTTTCTGCCTTATAAACATATATTCTTACACCTAGTTACTAGTCCGGTAAGTATATAGGGGTGGGGTGGGGGGAGAGGGGGGAGTGTTGAGTCACTAGGTTAAAGTTTGTATGGGTCAGAGAGGGATGTGTTTCTGCCTTATAAACATATATTCTTACACCTAGTTACTAGTCAGGTAAGTATATAGGGGTGGGGTGGGGGGAGAGGGGGGAGTGTTTAGTCACTAGGTTAAAGTTTGTATGGGTCAGAGAGGGATGTGTTTCTGCCTTATAAACATATATTCTTACACCTAGTTACTAGTCAGGTAAGTATATAGGGGTGGGGTGGGGGGAGAGGGGGGAGTGTTGAGTCACTAGGTTAAAGTTTGTATAGGTCAGAGAGGGATGTGTTTCTGCCCGACATCAAATTTAAGTTTGCCTGCAATTGGGGAATGTGTACTATTAAGTCGTTTGAAAGGTATCCTCCAGTGGAAAGCACTTAGTTTGGGACAAATTATTTCATTTTACTAAATGAGGTAAATTCTTGGATGTTCTTTACCATTTGACTAAATTTTGAACCTTTGAGTATTTCTTGAAATTAAGCATTATTTCTCTTTCAATATACTGACTTTTTATCAATTTGATGTCAGTTTTATTTTGACAAAATGTTAAAAAAGTGTGTGTGTCACATTTTAGCAAAATTGATTGTAATAACAATGATATGATTTTGGCTTTGTTTTGTTGTTGTTTGTGTGATACAATGATTTCTGACTTCATTCCAGGTGTTCAGACCTCGTATTGTCAATGAAGCATTCATCAGAAACCTGTCTACATTGCTGTCTCACGTTCGTAGTATAGAGATGGGCGACACAAATATAGAGTCGGCTAGTGGTAAGTATAGTGACTTTACAACACATAGAGACCCGGCGACACTAATGTAGAGTCGGCTAGTGGTAAGTACAGTGACTTTACAATACATAGAGACCCAGCGACACTAATATAGAGTCAGCTAGTGGTAAGTACAGTGACTTTACAATACATAGAGACCCGGCGACACTAATGTAGAGTCAGCTAGTGGTAAGTACAGTGACTTTACAATACATAGAGACCCGGCGACACTAATGTAGAGTCAGCTAGTGGTAAGTACAGTGACTTTACAATACATAGAGACCCGGCGACACTAATATAGAGTCAGCTAGTGGTAAGTACAGTGACTTTACAATACATAGAGACCCGGCGACACTAATATAGAGTCGGCTAGTGGTAAGTACAGTGACTTTACATAGAGACCCGGCGACACTAATATAGAGTCAGCTAGTGGTAAGTACAGTGACTTTACAATACATAGAGACCCAGCGACACTAATATAGAGTCAGCTAGTGGTAAGTACAGTGACTTTACATTACATAGAGACCCGGCGACACTAATGTAGAGTCAGCTAGTGGTAAGTACAGTGACTTTACATAGAGACCCGGCGACACTAATATAGAGTCAGCTAGTGGTAAGTACAGTGACTTTACAATACATAGAGACCCGGCGACACTAATATAGAGTCAGCTAGTGGTAAGTACAGTGACTTTACAATACATAGAGACCCGGCGACACTAATATAGAGTCAGCTAGTGGTAAGTACAGTGACTTTACAATACATAGAGACCCGGCGACACTAATATAGAGTCAGCTAGTGGTAAGTACAGTGACTTTACAATACATAGAGACCCGGCGACACTAATATAGAGTCAGCTAGTGGTAAGTACAGTGACTTTACATAGAGACAGTGACCGGCGACACTAATATAGAGTCAGCTAGTGGTAAGTACAGTGACTTTACATAGAGACCCGGCGACACTAATATAGAGTCAGCTAGTGGTAAGTACAGTGACTTTACATAGAGACCTGGCGACACTAATATAGAGTCAGCTAGTGGTAAGTACAGTGACTTTACAATACATAGAGACCCGGCGACACTAATATAGAGTCAGCTAGTGGTAAGTACAGTGACTTTACAATACATAGAGACCCGGCGACACTAATATAGAGTCGGCTAGTGGTAAGTACAGTGACTTTACAATACATAGAGACCCGGCGACACTAATATAGAGTCAGCTAGTGGTAAGTACAGTGACTTTACATAGAGACCCGGCGACACTAATATAGAGTCAGCTAGTGGTAAGTACAGTGACTTTACAATACATAGAGACCCGGCGACACTAATATAGAGTCAGCTAGTGGTAAGTACAGTGACTTTACAATACATAGAGACCCGGCGACACTAATATAGAGTCGGCTAGTGGTAAGTACAGTGACTTTACAATACATAGAGACCCGGCGACACTAATATAGAGTCGGCTAGTGGTAAGTACAGTGACTTTACAATACATAGAGACGCGGCGACACTAATGTAGAGTCGGCTAGTGGTAAGTACAGTGACTTTACAATACATAGAGACCCGGCGACACTAATGTAGAGTCAGCTAGTGGTAAGTACAGTGACTTTACATAGAGACCTGGCGACACTAATATAGAGTCAGCTAGTGGTAAGTACAGTGACTTTACAATACATAGAGACGCAGCGACACTAATATAGAGTCAGCTAGTGGTAAGTACAGTGACTTTACAATACATAGAGACCCGGCGACACTAATATAGAGTCAGCTAGTGGTAAGTACAGTGACTTTACAATACAAAAAGGCTCATTGAATGATAACTACTGATTTTAATGCTAAGATCGTAAGTAAATTGAGGGCGATTTTATCGGGCTGTTTAGATGATTTATTTTCTGCACTTTTAAGTTTGATACCTTAAAAATGGTGTTCTTTAATGTTTTTTGTATTGAAATTTGTAAAGAAATAAAAAAAGTAATGCTTCTGCATGTGTTTTATTGGATTTTGATTGTTTTAGTTTTACTAAAATATGTTTTCTGTTTATGCTTTGGTAACAGATAAACTGAAAGGTATTTGTAACATGTTACAGAGCTAGACGTCTCGCTTGTATTATAGCTTTCTAAGTCAGATTGTAACCTTGCTTTTTGTCATCCTTTCTTTCTGGTGACCTCCAGTTTTAAAGGAACATTTGAACCATCATCATCCTCTGTTAGTGTTTTTAGCTGTGATCTACTTTGTAATGGTTATTGATTTAAATTGACAACATAATCACATGATAACAGGATAACATGATAACGGGATCACATGATAACAGGATCACATGACAACATAATCACATGACAACACAATCACATGATAACAGAATCACATGATAACAGGATCACATGATAACAGGATCACATGACAACATGATCACATGATAACAGGATCACATGATAACAGGATCACATGACAACATGATCACATGATAACAGGATCACATGATAACAGAATCACATGACAACATAATCACATGACAACACAATCACATGATAACAGGATCACATGACATCATGATCATATGGCAAATGACAACATGGTCACAATTGACCAATTGATAACATGATCAATTACATGGCAACATGGCCACATAACAAAGGGACTATGTTGAAAAGATGGGGGAAAAAAAGAAATATAATTGTGAAAAATGACAACAGAATGAAAATGTATGAATGGCATGTTTGTGATATTCAGTCCCTGATCTCATCTTGTTTAATGACACTTTAGTTTTCTCCACTATCTCCTGATAGTATCAGAACCTCGTAGAGACAATCTGTGCTACTATATAAAGTTTTCAGTAGGCATACACTGGCTCTTTTCCTCGAAGCTTGTTTTCCGGAGTGTACAGAATTTTTGACTGATCATGTTTAATCATACTTCACATAATTTGCATGTAACACATTAAAGAATGCAACGCTTATATAAGATAAAAATAGATACATTTTACTTTAATCAGAAAACTGTTGCAAGAAATTTCTGCTTATTATATATATTTTTTTGCTAAACCTTAATTTTGATTGCTTTATACATCCCTAAAAAGATCATTATCATCCATTTCTTTGATTTTTGGTTCAGTCTGTTACCTGTGTGTGATATATATATATATATCATATATGATACTGTAAAAACCAGTGTAATGTGCGCTGGTACTTTTTGGGGCTTAAAATGGCAAAAAAGAAAAAATTGCATCTACTTGCGTAATGTGTGCACCCAAAAATTCAGTAAAAATCAATCTCCAGGAGCCAAGAAATTGATCTAAGAATCGGCTAACATGTCAGACCAATGATATAAAGTCCTTAAATTGAAAATATTCTGTTCAAAATTTTGTTTTAAATATTAATCGTGACATGAGATAATGACTTATAGTCATGTCATTGATAATATGAAGTGTAAAAATCATTTTAGATTAATAGTGTTCATGCTAGCTAATTTTTCCCCCTATGTGGATGGTCAGCAAAATATCACGTCAAAAAAAAAATTTCACTTAATACTCTTATATCGTTCTGTACTTAAGTTTGTTGTAATTGGTTGTGACTTCTGGAATAAATAAATTTCCATCTATACCAAACTTTCCTTTGATTAGTTCTTGAATCAAGTTACATTTCCTTCTGAGGATCTTTAAAACATTTCTTATTTCCAGTTGTTTTTAGTGCCATAATTTATATTTGATTGAAAATTGTATTTAATTTTTGGCATTTAACATTGGTCAGAATCAAATTATACTTTTAGTTTTCATAGATTGTATCAGTGTTATTTTCCAACAATTATTCATAGAATGATTTTCTTTAGTATATTATTTCACTTTAAAAATTAATATTATTGTTCAACATATATCAAAAGGTATACAAGATTTATTGATACGATGTTTTAATGATAGAGATAGTATATCAACAGTATGAATTCAAAAGAAGTTTTTTTTTCACTTTTCACGCAAGAGATTATTTGTAGCAATTTTACAATAGATATAATAATGAGAAACCTGAATTACATCTTTCCTTTATTACTACACAGCCGTATCTAGGAATGTGATCATAAGAACAAGGATAGATTGAGTTTTATATCACAGCATCTTACCTAGTATAAAATGTTTCCTCGAAACAAAAGTTCTCCAAAAATTTTAATTATTCAGTTACCGCAATTTCCAAAATCTATAGACTTACATTCAGTATTTAACAGAATAAAAAAGTAAGTAAAAAACAAGACATAATGATCGTCAGTTTTTGTATCTCATTAAAAAGAAAAAAAGAAAATTTCTGGAACACGGTAGAAAAGTAATCAGAACTGAATTGATATCAATTTAAAGACAATAATAACTGATTTTAATGTGATAAGATTTGCTTAAATAAGAATTAATGTTAATTTTGAATTAATGATAAATTTAATGGTTTGGAATGGTATCCACTGTATTTCAGCTGAAATAATCTTTTTTTGACAGGGTCCATCACTCCAGGGGAGTTTGTCAACACAGCTATGTCTGTTCTGGAGGGAATCTCTCAGCATCCAGCCATACTGACAGAACATGATGGGGTTATTATGGAAACGATACTGCCTATCCTTGCTACGCTGGTGGAAAGTCAGAACGGTCAGTAAAACTTATCTTTGTTTTAATGGTTTAGTCAAAGATCACAAATTGTGGTCAAAGTTTACATGGTGGGACCTGTTTTAGAAATTTGTGTAAAATATCGTAACGTTTCTGTAAAGGAAAGTACACAATGCTGGACAGTTGCTAATTCATGAAACATATGTAATTTTGTCTTAGAAGGTTTGAGATTTCAAATGACATCAATAGGCAACATGTTTACACAATTCTCATCATTAGTTGCTCTGATCATCAATTTAAAAAAAAATAATAATCAACTACTTTTGATTGAAGTGAAAAATAAAATGAAAATTGTTTTGTTTACACCTTTGTTGGATGTCCTATCGTATTTCCTACAGGTGACACGAGGGCTTTGTCTCTGCGCCTGATCTCCGACATGGCTTCAGTGTACCTAAGCCAGGATCAGTATGAAAGTGAGGCTAAGATCAACATTACACATCTTCACAAAACTGTCAGCGATATACTCCTTCCAAAGTATGTTATTGTTTGTTTGTTTCTGTTACCTTTTTGTGATGTGTACAGATGATTTTTAAGTCTTTAAAAGACCTTGTTTTACAAAGAGAAGATAATTTCTTATTTTTATAGTTGTTTTTTTTTAAACATTTACTTCAAGTTGCTTAGTATAAGAATGATAATGAAGACATGGAGACAATGTATATGAACATAACTTTCCTCGTTGGTGTCTGATAGGTTTGAGTACATTCTGCTGGATCAGGAACCATTGCCTAGTTATGGTATGAAGCTACTGCTAGCCCTGTTAGAACACAGTGGAACTTTCATCAAACAAGTCGAACAGTTGGGTCTTGTCTCTGTCATATTCCAAGTTCTTTTGGTGAGTTTGACTTATTCACTGCGTGTTTAGTAATATATTTCAGTAGTAGTGTAGTTAAGTAATATTTTGTGTTGTGCTAGCACTGGGCTCCTAAACATACTCATATCTCATCAGTGATCAGTTTAAGTATTTGAAATCGAAAAACTTGTGAGAATTAAGATCACTTTGAAAAATGGTTTATATTTTAAAAGAGCATTATAGTACTGAAACGTTTTTCTTAAATGGACTTATCAACTTTATAGAATCAGTCCACTGCGCAATACTACAAAAGTAACATTCAATTTTTAATATTTAATATAATCAGTCCCTGTAATTCACTGACATGTCTTGTCAATTATAGAATCAGGTCCCTGTATAGTACTATATAGATGATCAGGCCCCTGTATAGTACTATATAGATGATCAGGCCCCCGTGTATTACTATATAGATGATCAGGCCCCTGTGTAGTACTATATAGATGATCAGGCCCCCGTGTAGTACTATATAGATGATCAGGCCCCTGTGTATTACTATATAGATGATCAGGTCCCTGTATAGTACTATATAGATGATCAGGCCCCTGTATAGTACTATATAGATGATCAGGCCATGTGTATTACCATATAGATGATCAGGCCCCTTTGTATTACTATATAGATGATCAGGCCCCTGTATAGTACTATATAGATGATCAGGCCCCCGTGTAGTACTATATAGATGATCAGGCTCCTGTGTATTACTATATAGATGATCAGGCACCCGTGTGCTACTGTATAGATATCAGGCCCCTGTGTAGTACTATATAGATATCAGGCCCCTGTGTACTACTATATAGATGATCAGGCCCCTGTGTATTACTATATAGATGATCAGGCCCCCGTGTAGTACTATATAGATGATCAGGCCCCTGTGTACTACTATATAGATGATCAGGCACCTGTGTACTACTATATAGATATCAGGCCCCTGTATAGTACTATATAGATGATCAGGCCATGTGTATTACCATATAGATGATCAGGCTCCTGTGTATTACTATATAGATGATCAGGCACCCGTTTAGTACTATATAGATGATCAGACTCCTGTGTATTACTATATAGATGATAAGGCCCCTGTATAGTACTATATAGATGATCAGGCCCCTGTGTATTACTATATAGATGATCAGGCCCCCGTGTAGTACTATATAGATGATCAGGCCCCTGTGTATTACTATATAGATATCAGGCCCCTGTGTAGTACTATATAGATAATCAGGCCCCTGTGTAGTTATATATAGATGATCAGGCCCTGTATAGTACTATATAGATGATCAGGCCCCTGTGTACTACTATATAGATGATCAGGCACCTGTGTACTACTATATAGATAATCAGGCACCCGTGTACTACTGTATAGATATCAGGCCCCTGTGTAGTACTATATAGATGATCAGGCCCCTGTGTATTACTATATGGATGATCAGGCCCCTGTGTATTACTATATAGATGATCAGGCCCCCGTTTAGTACTATATAGATGATCAGACTCCTGTGTATTACTATATAGATGATCAGGCACCCGTGTACTACTGTATAGATATCAGGCCCCTGTGTAGTACTATATAGATGATCAGGCCCCCGTGTAGTACTATATAGATAATCAGGCTCCTGTGTACTACTATATAGATATCAGGCCCCTGTGTACTACTATATAGATATCAGGCCCCTGTGTACTACTATATAGATATCAGGCCCCTGTGTACTACTATATAGATATCAGGCTCCTGTGTACTACTATATAGATATCAGGCACCTGTGTACTACAATGTAAATTAAATACATGTTTGTATTTGTTATTTAGGATCATCAGAGCAGACCACTAAATAGTGCAGTACAGAGTATTGCTGGTATACTGAACTGTCTGGTCAGCCACAGGGAGACCAACATGAGGGACCTTTATGATCAGGGTGTGTGTTTATAGAGACATATTACAGTAAAGGTCTGTAATGGGATATATACAAAACAGTTTCTACAGTACATGATCAGGGTGTGTGTTTATACAGACATATTACAGTAAAGGTCTGTAATGGGATATATACAAAACAGTTTCTACAGTACATGATCAGGGTGTGTGTTTATAGAGACATATTACAGTAAAGGTCTGTAATGGGATATATACAAAACAGTTTCTACAGTACATGATCAGGGTGTGTGTTTATAGAGACATATTACAGTAAAGGTCTGTAATGGGATATATACAAAACAGTTTCTACAAAACAGTTTCTACAGTACATGATCAGGGTGTGTGTTTATAGAGACATATTACAGTAAAGGTCTGTAATGGGATATATACAAAACAGTTTCTACAGTACATGATCAGGCTGTGTGTTTACAGAGACATATTACAGTAAATGAAAAAATAATAGCCAAAAAATACCTCAGCAAACACCGAAAGAAAAAGACCTTGTATGAAAATAAAAGTAGTTTAGCGTTTTCTGAACTTTCTACAAGATTGATGCCAAGTACAGACTATGCTCAGTTTTTTCTCATTGATGCATTCAGTACATCTGAAATAGCCATGTTTTATTTGTGATGTTGTAGGCCTGATAGACTATTTTTCCACGCTGTTCTTTGAGGTGTCAGCTGCATGTTTCGAGGGTGACGAAAGAGGAGGGGACAGTAAAGCCACATTCACAATGTTACAGGTTCTCCTCGACACCCTCAACAGCATGTTAAAATATGTCTCCGAAATTGTGAGGAAAGCTCTGCAGGTAACGATGAATACTTTATCTTTTAAATTAATTTTTTGTATGTAGGATGTCAATATGGATTGTTTTATTTGATTAAGATTTGTTTCCAAGAGAACTTCATTTATCTAAAATTTAAGTAAATGTATGATTCAGTTTCATGATCTTATGGGCCTAATATCAAGGCAAAAAGAACGTATGCTTGGACACGATATTGGCCATTTGTTGTTGACTTCACTTTCCTTGTCTGTCATTGTCTTTTCCATGGAACACTACTCCTCTAGAACAGCTGATTTTAGTTTCACTCTTTGATTTTGTATTGAGTATGGAGCATCCCTGGAGTAAGAGCTTTCATATTTCTATAAATGATGGGGATGACCCTTGAGAGTGATACATTTTAAGGTCAAAATTACTGTTCACTCTTACATATGGATAGAAGTCACGCTAAATAAGCTGGTTAATTTACATAACAGACAAAGAAGGCAGGTATGGACGGAGGAACACGAGACGCTGAAGACGCCGAGCAGCTACTCCTCATTAACAAGTCTCTGACAGATGTCACGAACGTTCTAACCCAGCTGGTAAGCACACAGTATGTCAAGGCTAACCACTATTGGATATTATACTATTTTAATGTTGGTCAGTATTCAGAAAACATTTTTCTCTGTTTTCGGTTATTTTGACAAAGGGGAAGTTTTTTGCCAGCGACTTGAATATATATCTTTATCTGTCATCTAGATTATGATTTTTACAGACCTACAAAATCAAATCACGTACGGTATTAAAGATCCTGTTAATTTTGTATAAAATATGCAATAAAATAAACAGAAAGTTTAACAGTTATATCTGAGTAATGATTTTTACTCTAATGTAGGATATTCTTTTGTTGAAAGTTAAGTTATATGTCATCTGGGATGATTGTTTTCCCACAATTTAGTTGGTTGCTACTGTTGCTGAGTGAAGATTCTCTGTATTTTCGTAACATCTTTTTTAAAGTGTTTTTGTTTCCTTTCCATTTATTACCCTTTTTTTACCACAAAAACCATGAATATAGACAGAAAACAAATTTACTTCAAAATGACAATGTTAGCACCCCTGGGACTATCTGTGAAATAAGCCCAGTCCTAGATGACAATGTTAACACCCATGGGACCATTTGTGACTGTACTGTTTATTTATGAGATAAGCCCAGTCCTAAATGACAATGTTAGCACCCCTGGGACTATTTGTTGATATCTCTGAGATAAGCCCAGTCCTAGATGACATTGTTAGCACCCCTGGGACTATTTGTGACAACTGTTTATCTGTGAGATAAGCCCAGAGATGACAAGCCCTGGGATTATTTGTGACAACTGTTTATCTGTGAGATAAGCCCAGTCCTAGATGACAATGTTAGCAACCCTGGAATTATTTGTGACAACTGTTTATCTGTGAGATAAGCCCTGTCCCAGATGACATTGTTAGCACCCCTAGGACTATTTGTGAGATAAGCCCAGTCCTAGATCACATTGTTAGCAACCCTGGGACTGTTTGTGACAACTGTTTATCTGTGAGATAAGCCCAGTCCTAGATGACAATGTTAGTACCCCTCGGACTATTTGTGACAACTGTTTATCTGTGAGATAAGCCCAGTCCTAGATGACAATGTTAGCACCCCTAGGACTATTTGTGACAACTGTTTATCTGTGAGATAAGCCCAGTCCCAGATGACATTGTTAGCACCCCTAGGACTATTTGTGAGATAAGCCCAGTCCTAGAAGACATTGTTAGCAACCCTGGCACTATTTGTGACAACTGTTTATCTGTGAGATAAGCCCAGTCCCAGATGACATTGTTAGCACCCCTGGGATTATTTGTGACAACTGTTTATCTGTGAGATAAGCCCAGTCCCAGATGACATTGTTAGCACCCCTGGGACTATTTGTGACAACTGTTTATCTGTGAGATAAGCCCAGTCCCAGATGACAATGTTAGCACCCCTGGCACTATTTGTGACAACTGTTTATCTGTGAGATAAGCCCAGTCCTAGATGACAATGTTAGCACCCCTAGGACTATTTGTGACAACTGTTTATCTGTGAAATAAGCCCAGTCCCAGATGACATTGTTAGCACCCCTGGGACTATTTGTGACTACTGTTTATCTATGAGACAAGCCCAGTCCTAGATGACATTGTTAGCAACCCTGGGACTATTTGTGACTACTGTTTATCTGTGAGATAAGCCCAGGCCCAGATGACATTGTTAGCACCCCTAGGACTATTTGTGAGATAAGCCCAGTCCTAGATGACATTGTTAGCAACCCTGGGACTATTTGTGACAACTGTTTATCTGTGAGATAAGCCCAGTCATAGATGATAATGTTAGCACCCCTGGGATTATTTGTGACAACTGCTTATCTGTGAGATAAGCCCTGTCCCAGATGACATTGTTAGCACCCCTGGGACTATTTGTGACAACTGTTTATCTGTGAAATAAGCCCAGTCCTAGATGACAATGTTAGCACCCCTGGGATTATTTGTGACAACCGTTTATCTGTGAGATAAGCCCTGTCCAAGATGACATTGTTAGCACCCCTAGGACTATTTGTGAGATAAGCCCAGTCCTAGATGACATTGTTAGCAACCCTGGGACTATTTGTGACAACTGTTTATCTGTGAGATAAGCCCAGTCCCAGATGACATTGTTAGCACCCCTAGGACTATTTGTGAGATAAGCCCAGTCCTAGATGACATTGTTAGCAACCCTGGGACTATTTGTGACAGCTGTTTATCTGTGAGATAAGCCCAGTCCCAGATGACATTGTTAGCACCCCTGGGATTATTTGTGACAACTGTTTATCTGTGAGATAAGCCCTGTCCCAGATGACATTGTTAGAACCCCTGGGACTATTTGTAGCACCCCTAGGACTATTTGTGACAACTTTTTATCTGTGAAATAAGCCCAGTCCCAGATGTTATTGTTAGCACCCCTGGGACTATTTGTGACTACAGTTTATCTATGAGATAAGCCCAGTCCTAGATGATAATTTTAGCACCCCTCGGACTATTTGTTGATATCTATGAGATAAGCCCAGTCCCAGATGACTATGTTAGCACCCCTTGGATTATTTGTGACAACTGTTTATCTGTGAGATAAGCCCAGTCCTAGATGACATTGTAAGCACCCCTGGGACTATTTGTGACAACTGTTTATCTGTGAGATAAGCCCAGTCTTAGATGACAATGTTAGCACCCCTGGGATTATTTGTGACAACTGTTTATCTGTGAAATAAGCCCAGTCCTAGATGACAATGTTAGCACCCCTGGGATTATTTGTGACAACTGTTTATCTGTGAGATAAGCCCAGTCCTAGATGACATTGTTAGCACCCCTGGGATTATTTGTGACAACTGTTTATCTGTGAAATAAGCCCAGTCCTAGATGACAATGTTAGCACCCCTGGGATTATTTGTGACAACTGTTTATCTGTGAGATAAGCCCAGTCCTAGATGACATTGTAAGCACCCCTGGGACTATTTGTGACAACTGTTTATCTGTGAGATAAGCCCAGTCCTAGATGACAATGTTAGCACCCCTGGGATTATTTGTGACAACTGTTTATCTGTGAAATAAGCCCAGTCCTAGATGACAATGTTAGCACCCCTGGGATTATTTGTGACAACTGTTTATATGTGAGATAAGCCCAGTCCTAGATGACATTGTTAGCACCCCTGGGACTATTTGTGACAACTGTTTATCTGTGAGATAAGCCCAGTCCTAGATGACAATGTTAGCACCCTGGGATTATTTGTGGATTATTTGTGACAACTGTTTATCTGTGAGATAAGCCCAGTCCTAGATGACATTGTTAGCACCCCTGGGACTATTTGTGACAACTGTTTATCTGTGAGATAAGCCCAGTCCTAGATGACAATGTTAGCACCCCTGGGATTATTTGTGACAACTGTTTATCTGTGAGATAAGCCCAGTCCTAGATGACATTGTTAGCACCCCTGGGACTATTTGTGACTACTGTTTATCTATGAGATAAGCCCAGTCCTAGATGACAATGTTAGCACCCCTCGGACTATTTGTTGATATTTATGAGATAAGCCAAGTCCCAGATGACATTGTTAGCACCTCTGGGACTATTTGTGAGATAAGCCCAGTCCTAGATGACATTGTTAGCAGTAAGCCCCTAGATGACTGTTTATTGTGAGATAGCCAGATGACCCTGGGACTATTTGTGACAACTGTTTATCTGTGAGATAAGCCCAGTCCCAGATGACATTGTTAGCACCCCTGGGACTATTTGTGACAACTGTTTATCTGTGAGATAAGCCCAGTCCTAGATGACATTGTTAGCACCCCTGGGACTATTTGTGACAACTGTTTATCTGTGAGATAAGCCCAGTCATAGATGACATTGTAAGCACCCCTGGGATTATTTGTGACAACCGTTTATCTGTGAGATAAGCCCAGTCCTAGATGACATTGTTAGCACCCCTGGGACTATTTGTGACAACTGTTTATCTGTGAGATTATCTGTGAGATAAGCCCAGTCCCAGATGACATTGTTAGCACCCCTGGCACTATTTGTGACAACTGTTTATCTGTGAGATAAGCCCAGTCCCAGATGACATTGTTAGCACCCCTAGGACTATTTGTGAGATAAGCCCAGTCCTAGATGACATTGTTAGTAACCCTGGGACTATTTGTGACAACTGTTTATCTGTGAGATAAGCCCAACTGTTTATCTGTGAGATAAGCCCAGTCCCAGATGACATTGTTAGTAGCCCTGGGACTATTTGTGACAACTGTTTATATGTGAGATAAGCCCAGTCCTAGATGACAATGTTAGCACCCCTGGGACTATTTGTGACAACTGTTTATCTGTGAGATAAGCCCAGTCCCAGATGACATTGTTAGCACCCCTGGGACTATTGTGATAAGCCCAGTCCACATTGTTAGCACCCCTGGGATTATTTGTGACAACTGCTTATCTGTGAGATAAGCCCTGTCCCAGATGACATTGTTAGCACCCCTAAGGCTATTTGTGAGATAAGCCCAGTCCTAGATGACATTGTTAGCACCCCTGGGACTATTTGTGACAACTGTTTATCTGTGAGATAAGCCCAGTCCCAGATGACAATGTTAGCACCCCTGGGACTATTTGTGACAACTGTTTATATGTGAGATAAGCCCAGTCCTAGATGACATTGTTAGACCCCTGGGACTATTTGTGACAACTGTTTATCTGTGAGATAAGCCCAGTCCTAGATGACATTGTTAGCACCCCACTGTTTATCTGTGAGATAAGCCCAGTCCTAGATGATTTGTAGCACCCCTAGGACTATTTGTGACAAGTTTTTATCTGTGAGATAAGCCCAGTCCCAGATGACAATGTTAGCACCCCTGGGACTATTTGTGACAACTGTTTATCTGTGAGATAAGCCCAGTCCTAGATGACATTGTTAGCACCCCTGGGACTATTTGTGACAACTGTTTATCTGTGAGATAAGCCCAGTCCTAGATGACAATGTTAGCACCTCTAGGACTATTTGTGACTACTGTTTATCTATGAGATAAGCCCTGTCCCAGATGATAATTTTAGCACCCCTCGGACTATTTGTTGATATTTATGAGATAAGCCAAGTCCCAGATGACATTGTTAGCACCTCTGGGACTATTTGTGACTACTGTTTATCTATGAGATAAGCCCAGTCCCAGATGACATTGTTAGCACCCCTAGGACTATTTGTGAGACAAGTCCAGTCCCAGATGACAATGTTGACACCCCTGGGACTATTTGTTGATATCTATGAGATAAGCCCAGTCCCAGATGACTATGTTAGCACCCATGGGACTATTTGTGACTTTATCATGGTACTTTTATCTGTTGGTAGCTATGCTGTGATGACTCAGATGTCCAGGATCTGGCCACCAAGTGTCTGTCTCTCCTGGTCCAGCTGTTTGGGGGCGAGAACAAAGATGCCATGTCCCTGGAAAACATGGTCAGTTGAAAAAGTCTGTGGATAGAAGAATCACTGTACTGTTAGTGCTCATTCAAAGACACTCGGCCGATTAGAGGCATAGATATGTAATGTCTAGTACCATCAAAAATTCACTGTTGGAACGTCTTACATTGTTGAAATATTCAGGAAGAATAAGCAAGAAACCATTAAGATCCCCTTTTTTGAAAGTGAAAATTCCACATCTCGCATTCATACAAATGCTAATGGCCCCTTTAATAAGACAGATAATTGTGTTTCTTTACTTGATTTTCTAGTTCTTGGTTGATGTTCAATATTAATCTTTCCACAACACCTGCTTTATATCTACTGTATGTTTCACTTCAGGATTGCTATAGCAGGGCCTTGCAGAAATCTGATGCTAAAAGACAGAAAGTCCTTCTAAGAATCATTAAACGCTTGGTGAGTTATTTTGATTCATTGTAATTGGCTTTATAAGTAGATATCACAATGAGGTAGCTTACCCTATAACTAAAATTAAGTTCACTGTAAGGTAACTTGCCAATGCAAAATGGTTGTCATAATAAGTTAGCTTACCCTCTTAAATAGTAGTAATGTCACTTACCCTCTGAAATGGATGTTACAGTAAGGTCACTTAACCCCTTTAATAGATGTCACAGTAAGCTACAACTCCCTTAAATAGATGTGACAATAAGGTAGCTTGTCCTCTTAAATGGATGTCTCAGTAAGGTCACTTACCCCCTTAAATAGATGTTGGAGTAATGTCACTTATCCTCTAAAATGGATGTCACAGTAAGGTCACTTATCCTCTTAAATAGATGTCACAGTAAGGTCACTTACCCCCTTAAATAGATGTTGGAGTAATGTCACTTATCCTCTAAAATGGATGTCACAGTAAGGTCACTTACCCTCTTAAATGGATGTCACAGTAAGGTAGCTTATCCTCTTAAATAGATGTCACAGTAAGGTCACTTACCCCCTTAAATAGATGTTGGAGTAATGTCACTTATCCTCTAAAATGGATGTCACAGTAAGGTCACTTACCCTCTTAAATGGATGTCACAGTAAGGTCACTTACCCCCTTAAATAGATGTTGGAGTAATGTCACTTATCCTCTAAAATGGATGTCACAGTAATGTCACTTATCCTCTAAAATGGATGTCACAGTAATGTCACTTACCCTCTGAAATAGATTTTACAGTAAGGTCAATTATCCCCTTAAATAGATGTCACAGTAACATCACTTACCCCCATAAATAGATGTTCCAATAAGGTAACATACCATCATTAATGATTAGATCAATGTACACACATAATATTGTAATTAAACTGATAAAAATGGGTTACCTTTGTAAACATCCTGTTGTGTAAAAATGCTGAAATTGATATAATGATGTGTGAACCATTGTAGATGTATGTGCTGATAATGTCCTATATGTGATGTAAACTTTGTTTCAGTTGAGTACTGAGAAGGCACATGTGGATCTGATGAAACAACATGGGGAAGACTTGGCCACGACGATACGTAATCTTGTACAGACGGGGAAGTAAGTTGCTTTATCATTTTGTATTTATGACAATTTCAATGAAAAGAAAATAAAGCAATCATGTTGTGTGTGGATGCACAAGTATCCCACCTGTAGTTAGTTTAAAAAAATGTTCAGTGATTCGGAGATAAATATGAGATAAATGTTTGTTGTTTTTTTCAGTTCGCACGCTGATGTTGCCTTGACCTCTCTAGCGGCTGATATTTTGAAATTGACAGATTTCCATCGGTGATCACAAAGAAAATATTAATGACCTGTTAAGCTGTGATAAGAAAGCAACATTCCATTTCTATCCTTAACTGGAAATTTTCAAACAGATGTCAGTTCAACAATCTACTCCAGATTCAAGAGTATCAGACATTTCACCAGTGACTTCAGACAGAAGTTGATATAATCTGATCAGGCCCAGGTTTCACGAATCTTCCTTAATTTATGAAATTTTCCATAACTTAAAATTCCCCATAAGAAAACATAAGGAAATTTCCGTACATTTCCACTGTAGTTAAGATTTCTCTACATTTCCACTGTAGTTAAGATTTCTCTACATTTCCACTGTAGTTAAGATTTCTCTACATTTCCACTGTAGTTAAGATTTCTCTACATTTCCACTGTAGTTAAGATTTCTCTACATTTCCACTGTAGTTAAGATTTCTCTACATTTCCACTGTAGTTAAGATTTCTCTACATTTCCACTGTAGTTAAGATTTCCGTAGGTTAAGCAAGATTCGTACAATGGTCATAGTCACCATTTCTGTGAGACTTTAGATACGCCTGGTCAGTTGTGGGACACAAACTTGACCCCAGCAAGGTTGTATGATATAATTCTGAACAGTGCTACAGTAATGTGCAAACTTATGTTTTGATATTAGCATTTATAGTGATCTCTTGGCTAAATACTAGCCATTTAAGTGGCTAAATATTAGTTGTTGAATATTTATCTCACTTATTTAAAGGTATTACTTAATTGGCATAAGTAAATTATTAAACCAGTAGCAGTGAGTTACACAAATTGCCACCAATTTTTAGCCCCAGCCTTTCAGCTGACTTTTAAGCATACAAAAATGTATTTGTATGTTCTCAATGTCCTCATGGCATGGTTGATCAAAAAAAACAATATTTGTTTTTGTGAAGAATTTTTTACCAGTTTGAATTCTGATTTAATACCTATTATAATATCTGGTGTCTATTTTGACACCGAGGACTTGTCTTCAGCTTGATGGATAATGTCCAGGAATAGTAAGTCAGATGTCTTAAATAATGTCTTCTGTTACACTATGCTGGTAATAACTTACAAATTCTGACAAGTCAGATGTAACCCTTACATGTAAAATACAAAAAACCTTTTTTGTATGAAGCTAACATTTATGTTTTTGAGGCTAAAGAGAGGTTTCATGTAAATCAAATGAAGAATTTGCAAGTGAAATACAAAAAGGAATTGTTCATTTTCTTAACTGGTGACTCTTTGATTTAGTTAACACATGTGTAACTTCAAGTAAAAGTACAGTGATATATTCTGATTGTATATGCCTGCTTTTTTATATTACATCTTTTATAAGATACCAGTAAGTGTGATTCAGAAAATCCTATTGTTTGAGGTGTTTGAATGATTCAAAAGTCAGTCTATGATTCAATCAAATTATAAAACGGAAAGTCATACAGAAATGATATGAATAATTTATAGATTTTTGCCTTCACTGGTAAGTTTGACCTAATTTTCACGTCAAGGCTTTTATTGATGGAAGTCATCAGATCTTACTTTGGTTTTTTTCACAATCAGAATGTGTTTTCCAATGGATATGTAAGATAAGCAATACAGGCCTTATAGGCCTATTGTTTTTGTATTAATATCTCAATATATCTTCGTCTTACTTAAATTGTAAGGTACACAGTATCTACCTTTAGTTTTTGTCCGTCCAATTTGCACTTTTTTGTGTTCAAAAATACTTAGAATCTGAGTTAAATGAATGCTTGTATATGTTAAAGTAATATGTGTGGAAGGAGGAGCTGGAGGTTATGAAATAAATTTTATAAGAAAAAAAAAATTTCTTTGTTTTTAGATACAGTGTTCATTCCATGCTATCATAGGACTTTACATAAAAACATCAAATCAATCAGTTTTATTTCAGTTTTTTAATCCAAATCCATATATTACAATGTTCAGAACGTACAGTGTTACATTTTCTCATTTCCTCTGCCACGCTTCCAGCCTTGATCAGACAAGCTAACAAATTACAAAGTATAAAACACACAAATTATGAAGCATTCTCTTTCTTACTACATTGTCTCGCTCACAACAAAAACAACCCAAGCTCAACAACACTGTTAAACCTTACTACTGTTTAGGTATATTGTTCTGTTACTGTTCAGTTGATTCTACGGGATCATGGTTATACCTAGACAGTTTCTCTCGTCAAAATAAATATGTAAATAGATTTTCTTGGTTTAATATATGTTACCTAATTAATAGCTGATAATTTTCCTTATATCTAGTTTCAAAAGCCTTCAGAAAATTCTAATTCATACCTTGATACACAGATGGTCTCCGAGTACAAACAATTCTAGTTTATAAATATCTAGAGTAACATATAGATAATGACTGAAATGAATTAGCCGCTCAAATCTAATTCACTAAAACCTGTTCTTAGCAAGACCTTTTCATTACATTTCCATTTTAAACTGAGATATTGCTTCCTGAAATATCATGTTAAAGTATTCACATTTTTAGGCATACAGAAAAAAAAGCAGAAATAATGTTATGTAGAATTATTATATTTTCATGTGTCCAGCAGTCCTTGTGCAAATGTAAAATGATTTTAATAATTACACTTAGTTTCCAATGATATCTAATTAAAGCAATTCATTTTGAAGTTTGTCAATCTTCTTCACATATTACAGTTTGTATGAATATATCACTCACAATGTTTTAAGTATGATTACCCTTGTATACAAATTGATCTCCAAGATCATTACAATCACTCACAGTAAAGCTCAACATTAACACTTTGTAAGCTGTGTACACAAGCTAGTTTTGTACAGTACACTCAAAAGCCAAGCATATTCTGTCTGTCTAGCATCTTTGCTGAATCATGGATTTTTTTAAATAAAGGGAGGTAATCCTGCTCTAGCAACCTCTCCCAGAATGCATCATGTTCCCCTTATGTGCTATAAGGTGCCAAAAGGGTCAAAAGTGCCCTTTGGGAGTGATTGGAATGGGGTATGAATGGATTTTGGTATTATTTTATATGGAGTTTTGATTACAAATATTTACAAAAATATTTCATTGGTGAATCACTTTCTATGGGGCACTGTTTGACTTTTGATTCCATTTTATGTGATATCGGTAATATGATGAGATAATATCACTATAATGAATAGGTGATGTTACCTCTAGCCATTCCATTGGTATTATCACCATTTCATAAAAGTGGTATCATCTGATTGTTTCAGTAATTGGTAACATCACTTTAACAAATTTATGATATTACTTGTACAGCGATTAAGTGATACCACTGATCCACTACAGTGTTATTTGTCAACTGTTCAGTTTGAATTGTTGATATCACTCTAATCTTCACCTAACTTAGTGCCACTGAAAGCTTTATAAACTGCCAAAAACATTGTATGTGAGAAATATCACCATTCTTTGTGGCGACTGATTCACTATATCAAATTGTCGATATCACTTCTATGAATTCAAACTGAAATGGTGACATCACCACAATGAATTGATGATATCCAAACCACACATTAATGATAAAGAGTAAAACAGTACCGCATAAATTTTCACATTCAAAACTTGTAAAAGCTGATTCAATAGTGTTGAAATCATGAAAATATATGATATATACCACTTTTAACCTGGATTATAGAAATATGATGTCCCAGTTAGTCTTAGCTTCTGAAATATGATGTCCCAGTTAGTCTTAGCTTCTGAAATATGATGTCCCAGTTAGTCTTAGCTTCTGAAATATGATGTCCCAGTTACTCTTAGCTTCTGAAATATGATGTCCTACTTAGTTTTAACTTCTGAAATATGATGTCCTAGTTAGTCTTAATTACAGAAATATGATGTCCTAGTTAGTCTTAACTACAGAAATATGATGTCCTAGTGTCCTAGTTAGTCTTAATTACAGAAATATGATGTCCTAGTTAGTCTTAATTACAGAAATATGATGTCCTAGTTAGTCTTAATTACAGAAATATGATGTCCTAGTTAGTCTTAATTACAGAAATATGATGTCCTAGTTAGTCTTAATTACAGAAACATGATGTCCTAGTTAGTCTTAATTACAGAAACATGATGTCCTAGTTAGTCTTAACTACAGAAACATGATGTCCTAGTTAGTCTTAATTACAGAAATATGATGTCCTAGTTAGTCTTAACTACAGAAATATGATGTCCTAGTTAGTCTTAACTACAGAAATATGATGTCCTAGTTAGTCTTAACTACAGAAACATGATGTCCTAGTTAGTCTTAACTACATAAACATGATGTCCTAGTTAGTCTTAACTACAGAAATATGATAGTTAGTCTTAACTACAGAAACATGATGTCCTAGTTAGTCTTAACTACATAAACATGATGTCCTAGTTAGTCTTAACTACAGAAACATATATCTTGATTACATAATCTGGTTTATGAGACAGATTTGAATTCAATGTAGTTAATTGTGGATTTCAGTAAAAATCATCATATAAGAAAGTTGATATAAACTTCAAGTCATTAAATTTCTGTGATCTTAATTAGAAAATGTAAACTTTGATACCCTTAAGTTATAGATAGCAGCAATACTTGTACCACTGCTTTATCTTTTTAAAACGAACATTTCAAAACAAGAATCAGAGAATCACATCCACGTTTCGAATTTACACTGATGAAGCTTTAAACAAGATAACACAGCTTTCTTGTAAAATAAATCATATGTACAAAATGTGACATTTATCTGTACACATCAACAACAACAGCAACACAAACATTTTCAGGAATTCCTAGGGCACAGGGACATTTTCTTGTCTAATATTGCTTATTACAATGACACATTGTGCTATGGCCTTGAGTTAGTTACTCTATACATACATAGCAGTAATTTTATTTTAGCAATGAAAACATTGCACTAAAAATATGATGGCACTAATTGTAGTTTCTGCATGTTATATACCAAGCAATCATTGTGGATGCACTAATTCATCGCTGCATGGATTTGCTATATAATGCAATAAAATTTGAATGTACCTATTTAATTCTGTTTATGTACACGAGGATATATGCACACACAGTCGAGGTACTTTTAATTAGCCTCATTAATTATCTTCTAGAAACCTGAATAGCTCATGCAGTCAAACAACTGCAAATAAGGAAACATGAAATTTTTGTAATTAATAGTATTTTTCTGAATTCTTATTGTTTTTCCTAATTTTGGCATTTTTTATCAGAAGTGGAAGAGCCCAGTAGGGCCTTAAGATCTCGCCTGTTTTATTTGTTAATACTTTTAAGTACAGTGTCTATTAAACATGGAATGCAAAACTATAAAGGCAGGCAAAATTCTATCGTGAGAATCTTTTTATCATCATATGTACATCTAAGCCATTTTGATCTCGTTGGATTTGGTTGATCTTTTTAGTGGTCGAGAGACCTGTCAGCCAAAGGTACAAGTTAAAGAAATAAAAGAACAGATCAAATGGTCGCTGTTTCTTATGGTAAGAACAAAGAAGATTAGAAAAGTTTGTTTTCAAACCATTTCTGTGAGAAGTAGTTCTCATCAGAGAGTTCACTTTTGTGGTTTAGATCTGTTAATATCATGTTTTGGTTAATATCACAATCTGGTCTAACAAATGGTACATTACAACTCTTGTTTTTTTTAATCAGGCTGACCACTCAACTTCAATAAAGTTACTGAAATTAAAGTAAGGATAAGGGTGTTGGTATGTCTCTCCTTGATCTACACTACAAGTACACTGCTCAATTTTGATATTCACTTTGAAATATTTACCTTTATTCTCCCAATACGTCCAGGCTCCTTTCACCCACAATGACTACATCTTTAATTTGACTGTCATGGTGTATTAAATCTCTTTGGCTGCAAACTAAATTTCAGCCAAAGGAATCAAATACATCATTGTCTGCTCTAGACCAAATTAAGCCAAATAATTTTAACATGAAATGTTTTGCTCTAATAATGATTTAGAGGAAAATTTGTCACATCGACACTGGGCCATAGCATAAACTAATTGAGTTTGTCTTGTCAACAACAGTAATGATGGTATTGTTTTATCCTACTTTTGAATTAAAATGGTATTTCATGTTCATATTTTGTCATAGAATTATATTAAGAATGATACACATACTGGTAAAAATCTATTATTTTATGAACTGGAATGGTTTGATTAGTGTTTTGTACCGATTCAAGGTCACAAGGTCAATTTGTAGGAAGAGATCTCCATAGGAGGTATAGGAAGTTGGGAATGTGGGTTCCAAGTTCTCTTCTCATGCATGTGAGTGAGAGTTGTCTCCCTTATGCTGTCCACAGGTAGGTCCTTTAAAAGTGTACTAATTGTCACATTAGAAGCAAGGGAACACTCTGTGCCATCTGAGGGCAGGGAACACGTGTATCCACTACGATGCAGCACTAAACTTGTGCCTTGGTAGTCCAGAACCTCGTTAACAAGATTTCGGAAACTAACTAGTGTTATATCACATGGAAAGGGGCCCTGGGAGGGGGTGAACACACGGGCCAGAATGTCTGTATTGACTTGAGTGTACATAGACACAACAGGCTGTTGGAGGGCCTCCCCTATTGATAATGCCAGCAGTGAAGGGAATGTCATGACCCCTGGTTTTGCTGGTTGGGGTTCAGTAAAGTGTTCTATTTGTAAAACAAATTTACTGAGCGTAAGTTTATTGTCTTCCACTCCCTCACCAAGGCCTCGCTCATCATCATACAATAACTGTCTCTCCAGCATCACTTCAAGTTGCCCCTGTTGGAGCCCTGCCACACCATGAGGCTGGCTGGAGTGCAGTGTTAGACGATTATGTTGGTCCTCAAGTACAGCCATGCTTGTCATCGGGTAATAGTTGGCCTCTGTACGCAGTTTTGTATCTGTGGAACGACCGATCAACTGGAAGCCGTTTTCGTCTGTATAATACGACAAATCAGGATTTTTTATGTTAGTATTGAACCTCATAATGATCTCCCGATCGTGAAGCTCTTGTGAATACATGTTGATGAGATTCATTATATGAAGGCCACGCCCCTGAGGACCGGGATGGTGGTACACTTGAACAAGGTGCCGGATGTGGCGATATATGACTTCTACTTGTGACATGAGTGGACCTCGTGTCACCCTGATAACAGGTAGTCCCTTCAATGAGGGGCCAGCGCCCTCTGCTGTAGGGTAGAAGAGATATGCACCACTACCTTGTGATGTATATTGAAGAAACTCGAGTTGAAGAACTGTCACATTTCCTGTTGCTTTGTTCTCAATCTGTTTAAGCATTCCATCCTTGGGACTTATTTCAGCTCTTAAAAAGTCATTTTCCAAAATGATAGGTTTATGAAAGTGTTTAGAATCCCGAGGTCTATTCTGATAGAAGCGGGCATATGGTGGCACAGCTAGCAGTTTGGTATTATAGATTGTGATTTCTGCTGGGAATGAATTGTCCTTTGTCACTTTATCTACTTTGTACAACAAAAGTGTTTCAATTGACAAGGGAGATAACTTTTTGAGAAACACAATTTCGAAAACACGTTCATGTACAGCGACCGTAGAGTCCCAGACGGGGTTGATCTGGTGAGGAATGATTTGGTTGTCCGAGTCATGAAGAGTAAGACGATCCGAATTGACCAGTAATGACCACATTTCTGTTCGCTCATGCATGGAGGGATTGTACAACATCACCTTAGTGCCAAACTCGACGACTGCAATGACCTGTCTGCGTGGGAGTGACCTATGGTCAGTATATAACAAAGCTGGACTGAGGATGAGAGGTGATTCCAAACGTCCCTGTGTTAACAGCGTCTGTGTTGCGATTGTCAGTACCTTTTGAGTACTGTTGTATGCTGTATTTAGAAGGCGCTCAAAGTCCTCAACCACATACGCTTTAGAGGTACCGGTGATCGCATCATGATGAAGAAATACGCCTAAATTACGTCGGGCTTGCTGTAAATGTGTGGCGGTTTCATGGTAAAACTTAAATGGACGATTCCACTTTTTCATATATGCTATCGTGAGTGTAAACAACATTTCTGCAGCCCTCAAGTTTGCCTGAACATCCCTCGAAAACTTTTTATCAAAAGGTCGTGTTGTGAAATATCCAGACCAATAAGCATTATTTTTGTCAGAATATGGAAAGAAATCACCACTAAGAGATGGGAACTGTTTATCAGGGTTTTCTTGTTTTAATTTTTCTTCTGATTTTCTCACAGCATTGAAGTAATCTGATAGTGTTCCAAATTTGATATCAACATTCCATTCCTCCTTCGTGTTCATGTACTGCATAAGCATGTCGTAATTTTGGTATTGTTGATCCCATTCGGATTCACGGTCGTAACGGAAGTCATCGCCAAGCGGGACAAGGATGGTGTTATATCTATACAAACTAGCCTTCGATTTATACTGTTTGTACAGGGCTGTAGCAAGAACCTCAACATTTGTAACTGTGATTGGTTTTGAGAAGCTTCTCCGGGCGAGACTCTCGGCCTGCCAGAAGTCGAACATCAAACACACGTCAGGGTTGGGACCACAAGTGTGCTTAGTGCCATACAACATATAGGGCATCGTGTGGCACAGGATGTCAGTTTTTTGAGAGGAGTCCCAAGCCTGACGCCATTGGAATTCTAAACTTTTATTTCTTGCTAGAGCAGCTTTAGTGGATTGATGTATGCGCTGAATAACCATGTTATCAAGACCAGCACTTTTCCACAGATAAGGCATTGTGCCAGAATGTCCAAACGGGTCAATTGACCAGCTGTTGACTGGTTTGGTATGGAGATTTTCACCGAGCCACTGGTGGCCTTCCATCAACTGGTCAATGACTGAATAATAGTGTGTGCTGGCTTCATCTGGCATCACCCAGCCACCAAGTACGATCTCGAGCTGGCCACGTCTCACGAGGCGGCGAACCTGAGCTTTGACATCATCGTCAAGCTCATTCCACCACATGCTTAAAAACACTGTTTCTGCCCAGACAAATGTCATGTTAGGGTAAATCCTTAACTTAGCCACCATGTTGTTCAGAATATTTTTGGTTGAGACTACATAGTACTCCTCCACGGTTCGTTGCCATCCTGGGTCATTGTGGCTATGTGGCACCACAATAACAGTGAGTGGCTCATTAGACTCCACAGTGTCTGTTGGAATGATATACTGGCCGTTGCTTTTCATGGCGTAGGAGGTGTGGTTTTTCAGCGTCTGTGTTGTGATGGTGGTTGTGGGAATAACCATACCCATGCCCTGGCAGACGTCGTGTGACACTGACCTTAACACCCGACCATGGTATGGTGATTCTCGATAGAGGGGACGGTTGCTCTGGCCTATGTCAAGGATGGCCATAAGCTGCTGTGTGTTGCCAAGGACGACCAGGCCCAGCACAGCCACCAGGCCCAGACCAGCCACAATAAATAGCCGTTGTTGGAACTTCATCCCGCACTCATGTTTCCATGCCAACCAACTGTCGGTCACCAAAGTAGAGCTCAATCCTACAACAGAACAAAACAATATTCTGTTCAGCAAACTATACACAGAGTGAAAGATAGACTTGTACAAAGCCAAATTAGAATGATTGATTTGCATCACATGTATTGTAATATGGAAATGCAGAGAATTATATTTGTCTAAACAAAATACCATTGAGAAAGCATAACTACATGTCACAATAACAAAATCTATAAAAATAGATAAAAGGATTTTTTTTTAAAATTGAGGGAGGAGATCTCTAGTCAAAATAATAAAGCTGAACAAAACAGAAAAAAAATGAAGAAACAAAAGATTTTTCCAACTATTGTTGAATCAAAATGCAATTCACAATAAACATACAACATGTCTGGGTGAGCGAGACTATGAAGTTTCAAGGAAATTGTTAAAAAAACAAAAAAAAAAAAAAAAGGGCAATAACTCTTCCAAAAACATTGATCCATCAAGAAAACACCTTCATGTCATGGTAATTATGTGTGAAAGAAATTTATCTGAAACTAGAAGCAGAGGAATCTCCAGACAAATAAATGTTACAACAGACGGAGAAAATGCTATACCAAAGTTATTCACCCTGACAAAATTTTTAATGGTTATATAAAACCAGGACACAATGTATTGTTGATAAGATTGATTGAAATTCCTGATTTCTTTTCAGTTATATGAAATGAAACTTCCAACTACATCCCTTCATATATTTTAAAACAAATTAGAAGTGTTGTGATATTGTGTGTTCACCATACAGTGAAACCTATATGTTTTCTGATAAGGAATCTTCGACAGAAATATACAGAGAGGTTTTGTTTAACACTTGTATTTAAGTTTCTGGTTAAGCAGAATGACAAGCTTGTTACATACACTGATTCTGGTGTATGAACCAGACAGAAAAGATACTGTAGGTATGAAAAACTCCACAAGTTTTTTAACCCATGAAACACTGCTGTGAAATGGGTTGAAATATGAGTCACACCCTAGCGTCTGTTCATAGAAATCACTTATCTCCCCAATAAACTTAAAGATTTAACTGTCATAACAAATGTCACTCAAAAAAGATCACAGAAATAGGTAATGGGTAACAAACTGGATAAGAAATGGAGTTATGTGTGTTAGTTCCACAACATGGCAAAGTGTGATTATCAATTTAAAACTTAGACTCTCTAATACATTAGAGATGTAACATAGCAGATGATTGGTCACTTGTTTCCATGTTACTACAATACACTACTGGTTTCTAATCTACCTGTGAGCCCTGAATGGGCTGTTTAAATGGTCAGAGACCCAGACAGGTCTTGAAAATGATGTCATAAACTAAAACATGAACCTGAAAGGAAAATGAAATTTTGTCTCATTTTGAATCTTCCCGACATCACTATTTCTGAGCACAGTAGCCAAGGGACCTTAAATTAATGAATGGTGCATGCAACAAAAATCAATGTTGTTCAGTAGCCTATATAAATTAGAAAGGTCTCCAGCATGGTCTCCAGTGTTCTACACTTTATCATGAATACATGTTATGAATATCTATCTCACTGGTTCTACATCATCAGCAAAAGTCATGACATCAAAATCGCTATATTAATCAACACCACTGGGACAGCTTCTTATCAAAGAATCCCCATATCTCCCTATTTTCAAGTATATATACTGTATCTGATGAATGGTTCTTATTGGTCGAGACAAATATAAAAATTGTAGCAATTTAGGATGTTTGTTTGCTTCTGATTTTGAGGTCTCATTATAGTAGTTGATGATAACCTCACTGAACACCATGCAGAAGGCCCACAAGATGCAATCATTAAGAGCAATAGGGATAAAGAGACTTGCCAAAGGACACACCTTTTAGAGCAGAGGTAGATTAGGTGACCCCACGGTTCTGAGAAACACGAACCACCTTGTGCAAGGAAACCAACCACTAACTGGTTTCTGCAGGTCACACAGTCCAATACTGCATGAGCTATTGCACCCCTTATTCAGGAACTAAATATATAATCTCAATATTTTCTTTTTCTGACTTCCTATCATTTCAAAATTTTCACTTTGACATTAAAACCCCCATCAAAATAATTCATGAATATTTGAAAGTTTTTCACCATGTTCAAAACATTCCTTAATTGTATACGATATTTTGAGTCTAGTAAAGTCACCAAGCATTCACCAGTACAGTTACCTTTTATGGAGAGTATCCATCTTAATGTATGAGTTAAAATTTCAGTCCTTTTTTTTGAAAATCACAATGTAAAATATCACATCTTTTCTTATCTCAGAAGTAAAATTGTAAATAAAATCAATTGACAGTAAATAAGGTGTAATATTTTTATCTAGAAATTACTGCCATCTGTTAGGACATTACTTGCAGGTGATATAACAGAAATATTTCACACAATGAAGAGAAATCCAATATAATTAAAGAAAATTTAGCAATAATAAAAAAAAACTAATGAAAATAGAAAATGGTTTATAAAATAATTCTCACAAATAGTTAAAGCTGTGTGAAATAAACAAGTCTTAGATAAAATGGTTGAATGTCGCTTTTCATCATTAATTAACATTTGTTTGAGAAATATGATTTGTTGCTCTCATCAAGGCTATAGATTCATTTAGTTTGCATTATTATCTCCCTTTTGAGAATTTTTTTATCCTTAAATTGTAAATAATTATACACCAAGCCTATCAGGAGTTCTGCAAACTTGATCCATTAAGATTAGAAATAATACTGGTTGTTATAGAAAGTGTAAGAAATTATTTCTTAGCTACGTAATTGTAGAAATAATATCCGGGTAATAATGATTCTCAAACAGAATACTAATTCATTATATGGAATTGTTTCCCATAGTAAGCTTATCCTATCAAGACTACTTGTCTTATGTTTGGTATGTAGTATTCCTGAGAAGTATCAACAACATTTTTACAGAAATTATAAATAAACAGAGAATTTCCCGGTACAGATGGTTGTAAGAGTTATGACAAAAGATAGTTTCCAGCTGCTACTAAAGTGATATCAAGGTAAACATATACACAGCTAATTCACCAATAATTTCTAGATAAACAGAGCTGTCTGCTCCATCATAACTAGTGATTAGTCAGGATTTACAAAAAGTATTGGCTGCTGCAGAAGTGTTCCTTAATCACAGATTGCCTCCTACATCTGCAATCACAGCTACAGGACAAATGTGAGGTCCCCAAGAGAACCAACCACTTGTGTCAGGCAATCCTATCACCAGTCTGTTGATACACTGGACAGGAAAAACGTGACATACATCAGACAGGAAATATTTACCTATAGAAAATATGATCTACTGAATACAGATACAGGAGAGAGTACAGACAAGATACAGGAGACAGTACAGACTGGATACAGGAGAGAGTACAGACTAGATACAGGAGACAGTACAGATTAGATACAGGAGACAGTACAGACTAGATACAGGAGACTGGATAGAGGAGACAGTACAGACTAGATACAGGAGACAGTACAGACTAGATACTTGAGACAGTACAAACTAGATACAGGAGACAGTACAGACTAGATACAGGAGACAGTACAGACTAGATACAGGAGACAGTACAGACAAGATACAGGAGACAGTACAGACAAGATACAGGAGACAGGACAGACTAGATACAGGAGACAGTACAGACTAGATACAGGAGACAGTATAGACTGGATACAGGAGACAGTACAGACTGGATACAGGAGAGAGTACAGACTAGATACAGGAGACAGTACAGGATAGATACAGGAAAGAGTACAGACTGGATACAGGAGACAGTACAGACAAGATACAGGAGAGAGTACAGACAAGATACAGGAGACAGTACAGACTGGATACTTGAGACAGTACAGACTAGATACAGGAGACAGTACAGACTAGATACAGGAGACAGTACAGACTGGATACAGGAGACAGTCCAGACAAGATACAGGAGACAGTACAGACAAGATACAGGAGACAGTACAGACTAGATACAGGAGACAGTACAGACTGGATACAGGAGACAGTACAGACTAGATACAGGAGACAGTACAGACTAGATACAGGAGAGAGTACAGACTAGATACAGGAGACAGTACAGACTAGATACAGGAGATAGTACAGACTTGATACAGGAGACAGTACTGACTAGATACAGGAGACACAACTGACTAGATACAGGAGACAGTACTGACTAGATACAGGAGACACAACTGACTAGATACAGGAGACAGTACTGACTAGATACAGGAGACACAACTGACTAGATACAGGAGAGAGTACAGACTAGATACTGGAGAGAGTACAGATTTGATATAGGAGACAGTACTGACTAGATACAGGAGACAGTACTGAATAGATACAGGAGACAGTACTGACTAGAGACAGGAGACAGTACAGACTTGATAGAGGAGACAGTACAGACTAGATAAAGGAGATAGTACAGACTAGATACAGGAGACTGGATACAGGAGACAGTACTGACTAGATACAGGAGAGAGTACAGACTGGATACAGGAGAGAGTACAGACTGGATACAGGAGACAGTACTGACTAGATACAGGAGACAGCAACCATTGATTGAGATGTCTATGACACTATAACACTGGACTTGATACGACTGATCCTCCTTGCCGGAATACTTATTTATTTTGTGCCTGAGTGTTTGGCTGAGACAGCGATAAAGACTTGATTTATATTGATGGCTCTTGTGAGCCCCTAATGGGCCCAAATGGTACCACATGGGCTAACCATAGCCCACAAACTAAATTTCATTTCAATCCAGCATCAGCAATACAAACAAAATGGATATATAAATAAAAACATGCTCCACATTTAGCAGTGATAGATTGCCAATCTCAGCTTCAGTATCAACTTGGGTCTTTTCAAGGCTTATTTAATTTCTTGATTTAACATCTATATTCATTACCAAGATCTCTTGATTGATAGAGTTGCTCTGAATCACACAGTTTCTTTCTTAACATTGACAGACATGTCACAATACCAACATATTTACCCATGGTAACCATAAACCC